TATAGAAATGCCTCGGATTTCTTGGGGTTAATTTTGTATCCTGCTACATTGCCAAATTCATGTATTAAGTCCAGTAGCTTTTTGATGGAGTCTCTAGGGTTTTGTATGTATAATATCATGTCGTCTGCAAATAAGGACAGTTTTACTTCCTCTTTTCCAATTTGGATGCCTTTTATTTCTTCTTCTTGCCGAATTGCAATGGCTAACACTTCCAGTACTATGTTGAACAGGAGTGGTGAGAGGGGGCATCCCTGTCTTGTTCCTGTTCTTAGGGGAAATGGTGTTAGTTTTTGTCCATTGAGTATGATGTTGGCTGTGGGCCTGTCATATATGGCTTTTATTATGTTGAGGTATGATCCTTCTACTCCCACCTTGCTGAGAGCTTTTATCAAAAATGGGTGTTGAATTTTGTCAAATGCTTTTTCTGCATCAATTGATATGACCATGTGGTTTTTTTCTTTCAATTTGTTTATGTGATGTATCACGTTTATTGATTTGCGGATATTGTACCATCCTTGCATCCCCGGGATAAATCCTACTTGGTCATGGTGTATGATCTTTCTGATGTACTGCTGGATCCGATTTGCTAAGATTTTGTTGAGGATTTTGGCATCTATGTTCATGAGGGATATTGGCCTGTAATTCTCTTTCATTGTGTTGTCTTTACCTGGTTTTGGTATTAGGGTGATGCTGGCTTCATAGAATGAGCTTGGAAGTGTTCCTTCCTCTTGAATTTTTTGTAGTAGTCTGAGGAGGATAGGTTTTAGTTCTTCCTTGAATGTTTGGTAAAACTCCCCTGTGAAGCCGTCTGGTCCTGGGCTTTTGTTTGCTGGAAGCTTTTTGATGACTGCTTCAATTTCTTCCATAGTTATTGGCCTGTTGAGATTTTTAGATTCTTCCTGATTGAGTTTTGGAATGTTGTATTTTTCTAGGAATTTGTCCATTTCCTCCAGGTTGTCTAGTTTGTTGGAGTAGAGCTGTCCATAGTATTTTTTAACAATCATTTGTATTTCTGTGGGGTCTGTTGTTATTTCGCCTCTATCGTTTCTGATTTTGTTTATTTGGGTCCTCTCTCTTTGCTTCTTGGTGAGTCTGGCTAGAGGTTTGTCAATCTTGTTTATCCTTTCAAAGAACCAGCTCTTGGTTTCATTGATTTTCTGTATTGTTTTTTTGGTCTCTATGTCATTTATTTCTGCTCTAATCTTTATTATCTCCTTCCTTCTGCTCACTCTGGGGTTTTCTTGTTGCTCTCTTTCTAATTCTTTGAGTTGTAGAGTTAGATGATTTACTACCATTTTTTCTTGTTTGTTGAGATAGGCCTGTAGAGCTATAAACTTCCCTCTCAGGACTGCTTTCATTGTGTCCCATAGGTTTTGGATTGTTGTGTTTTCATTGTCATTAGTTTCCAGGATGTTTCGAATTTCTTCTTTGATTTCATTGGTAACCCAATCAATATTTAATAGCATGCTATTCAGCTTCCAGGTGTTTGAGTATTTTGGGTTGTTTTTATTGTAGTTTATTTCTAATATTATGCCATCGTGGTCTGCGAAGACACTTTTTATGATTTCAATTTTCTTGAATTTGGGGATACTTTGCTTGTGACCCAATATATGGTCTATTTTTGAATATGTCCTATGAGCATTTGAGTAGAATGTATATTCCCTGGCTTTCGGGTGAAGTGTTCTGAAGATGTCTATTAAGTCCATCTGATCTAGTGAGTCATTTAGGATTGCTGTATCTTTGCTGATTATTTGTCTAGAGGACTTATCCAGTGCTGTCAGTGGTGTATTAAAGTCCCCTACTATGATTGTATTGTTGTCGATCTCTCCTTTGATATCTTCCAGGAGTTTTTTTATGAATTTGGGTGCTCCTGCATTGGGTGCATATATGTTTACCAGGGTTATATCTTCTTGTTGTATTGATCCCTTTAGTATTATGAAGTGGCCTTCCTTATCTCTTGTTATGGCCTTCACTTTGAGGTCTATTTTGTCCGATATAAGTATTGCTACCCCAGCTTTCTTTTCCTTTCCATTTGCCTGAAAGATATTTTTCCAACCTTTCACTTTCAGTCTGTGTGAGTCCCTTCTAATGAGGTGGGTTTCTTGTAGACAGCAGATGTATGGGTCATGTTTTTTTATCCATTCAGCCACTCGATGTCTTTTGTTTGGAGCATTTAGTCCGTTTACGTTTAAAGTTATTATTGAAAGGTACTTGTTTGTAGGCATTTCTGTTTTTGTGTGGCTGTTTTCTTTCTGGGCTTTTTATTTCTTATTTTTATACCAGTCCCTTTAGCATTCCTTGCATTGCTGGCTTGGTGGTGATAAACTCCCTTAGCCTTTTTTTGTCTGTGAAGCTTCTTATTTCCCCTTCAAGTTTGAATGATAGCCTTGCTGGATAGAGTATTCTTGGATTCAGTCCTTTGCTTTGCATCACTTTGTAAATTTCCGTCCATTCATTTCTGGCCTGATGTGTTTCTGTTGAGAAATCATTTGACAATCTAATGGGAGATCCCTTGTATGTAACTTTCCGTCTCTCTCTTGCAGCCTGTAAGATTCTCTCTTTGTCCTGAACATTTGCCATGGTAATTATGATGTGTCTTGGTGTGGGTCTTTTTGGGTTCACCTTGTTTGGGACTCTCTGGGCTTGTGTGACTTTTTTCTTCCCCACCTCAGGGAAGTTTTCTGATATTATTTCTTCTAATAGGTTTTCTAATCCTTGTTCATCCTTCTGTTGTTCTGGTACCCCTATTATTCGTATGTTGTTTCGTTTCATGTTGTCCCAAAGCTCCCTTAGGCTCTCCTCCTGTCTTTTCATTTTTTTCTCCAATTGCAGTACGTTTTGGGTGTGTTTTGCTTCCTTGTCTTCTAAATCACTAATTCGGTCCTCCGCTTCTCCTAGTCTACTGTTGATACTTTCAATGGAGTTTTTCATTGCAGCTATATCACTCTTCATTTCTTCTTGGGTCTTACTTAAGTTGTTGATTTTTTCATCTGTTTCTTCTAGCTTCTTCCATATGTTATCGATTTTTTCATCTGTTTCTTCTTGCTTCTTGGAGAGGTTGTCGATTTTTTCCTCCATCCGGTTTATGCACTCTAGGACCCTTATTCTGAATTCTTTTTCTGTCATGTTGCATGCCTCTGTATTACTTAGCTGCTTTTCTGGAGAGTCCTCCTTCTCTTTCCTTTGGGGGTTTCTTTGTCTACCCATGTTTGATCTCGCTGACATATCTAGACGTTGAGTCGTTCAGTGGCTGCTCCCTTGGTGGCAGTGACTCCTTGGTCTGTGGTTGCTCTTCGGGCGGTTGCGGTAGCAGCTGCTCTTCAGTTGGCAGCAGCTCCTCTGGTGGGTGCTGTTCACAGCTGTGGTGGCTCTTCTGGCTGGTGGGGCAAGGTTTCACGTACAGCTGCTGTTCCTCAGCAGAGGGTGTGGTGCTCAGGAGGTTGCTGTTGCTTGGATCTGCTGCGTTGTTTTAAAGGCACAAAATACAACACAACAAGGCACCACGTACCAGGCACTATACACAAATATATTCACGATATGAATAACCCCAAATAAAGGTGACCACCTGAATTAAGAGAATTAGGGGATAAGGAAGAAGGAAGAGAAAAAGAGAAAAGAGAAAAAAGAAAAGAAAATTAGGGACCAAAAAAAGGAGTGCAAAAATGAAATTGGGAAAAAAGGGGGGGGAAATAAAAGCGAGAAAAGAAAAGAAAAAAAAAGAGCGAAAAGAGAGAATGAAGTGGAAGAGGGGAAGAGACTTTTTTATATGAGGAGAATACTCCTATAGAACAGCCATTAATCCCAACAAATTCCCGCAACAGCTCCCTGGAGATGAATGCAAACTAGAAACAACCAATAATATAACGATGAAAATAGAATGGAGAACACTAATCCCAAAATAAAATAAAGAGAAAATAAAATGGCACTTTAAAAAAAATGGTAAAATGGTAGCAGTAATAATGCTGGTTAAAAATAAGAAGGTAGTAATTAAAAGGGTAAAATCAGGTGATGGAAAAAAGAAGAGGGGAAAAAAAAAAGAAGAAGAAGAAAAAAAAAAAGAAAAAAAAATTGGTTTCTTAGTTAAAAGGTGAAAAAAGAAAAAAAAAATATTGCAGTAGTGAAGGTCCTTCGGTTCTTCTATTCTTCAGTGTGGCTCGCCTTAGACCTGCCAGGTATTCAGGAGAGTGTTGAGTTTCCCTGCGATACCCTGTTCCTCTGTGTTGTAAACCACAGTCCTTATTTTAAAGCAAGCCGCATTTGTTTCCCAGACTGCCTTATTTTGTGTTTAGCAAAGAGTCAGTTTGTGGGTCAGCCTCTGGGTGGCAGTGTTCTGGGGTTGGCCTCTGAGGCTATAGGGCCTCTCTGTCCAGTGGACGTTCACTGCCCAGAGCTGGCTGCGTAAGAGTTACCAGTGCTGTGTTGTTGCTGGGATTCAGAAATACTGTTTTGATCCTCGGTTGGGTGACTCTGTGGATGTGAAACTGGGGGACACAGAGGGCCAATTTGTATAATCTTTTTTAAAACATATTTTTCATTGATTTCAGAGAGGAAGGGGGAGGGAGAGAGAGAGAGAAACATCAGTGATGAGAGAGAATCATTGATTGGCTGCCTCCCGCACACCTCCCACAAGGAATCGAGCCCACAACCTGGGCATGCACCCTGACTGGGAATCAAACCATGACCTCCTAGTTCACAGGGCGATGCTCAACCCCTGAGCCACGCCGACCTGGCTAGCGTTTTACTAGTACATTTACACGTAAGCATAGGAGGAAACTGAAGTCGGAGGAGCTCAGGCGCATGCCCAAGGTGTAGCTAGTCCACTGCGGAGCTGGGATCTGCACCCAGCCCTGCCCAGTCCCAGCACCTCCATCCGCTTTAGCCCTGAGCGCCCGTCCCCTTCAGGCGCGGAGCAGAATGTGCGTGTCTTTATGGAGAGGGTCGGGAAGTCCGAAAAGCCTGCACTCAAGGAGGAAAATTGTTCACTTTTGCTTATTTTGTAGCCAAAAGCTGGGTCTCTTGGATCGGGTTCGCCTTTCTAATCCTCGTGGTAGCAATACTAAAGGAAAGCTATTTACCCCTCTGAATGTAGATGCCATAGAAGAAAGTCCTTCTAAAGAGCCAAAGCCTGTTGGCTTAAACAATAAAGAGCGTTTCCGCACCGCCTTCCGCATGAAAGCCTACGCTTTCTGGCAGAGCTCCGAAGGTAAGGCCTGTCCTTGCCCCTGCCCGAGACCCCTCCCTCCCTTCCTCTCTCCCTCCCTCCCTCCTTCTCTCCCTCCAACTCTCCCCCACCTTGAAGTACTCTCCAGTCTGCAAAGTAGCCCATCCCCTGCCCTCCCTCAACCCACTCACTCGAGGCATCTATGACTCATCCCCACAGCTTGAAGGGCAGGGGGCACCCAGGTAGCTGTTCCTGGGCCATAGTTACCACACTCACCTGCGCAGACGCGGCTGGGAGCTTGGGGGCCTGTCACCATGGTCCCTCGGGTGGCAATGATGAGTGCATGGCCATGGAGTCCACGCGAAAGATGGAGAGGGGCTGGGTGCAGAGCGATCCGCAGCCCTGGGGCCTCAGCACCCTCAGGGGTGGGAGGATGTGTCAGAGAGCAGCCCTCAAGGGTGTAGGAACACCTCTGTGTTCCCTTTCACTTATGGAAAGAGGATAAGTAGGGCTCAGAGAGTGACCTCCCCCAAGGTCACCCGGCTGAGGACTTGGAAGAGCAAGAATGTGAACTAATGCCCACCTGTGTGACAAAGCTGCCACCCTGGGAACGCAGAACGCACGTTCTGAACTGCAGGCACCCGTGGCTCAGACTTCTGGGTAATAGGAGGGGATGCTCAGAAAGGCTGAGTGACCTCACCGCTGGAGGACCCTGCGGGGTTCCCGGAAGTGGGAATACAGACCCTGGAGGCTGAGCCTGGAAGGCTGTGGCTGAAGGAGGGCCCTGAGCCTCTGCAGGTGCTGTGGCCGCCGTTGATACACGTGTCTCCCTCCCAGATGCCGGGACCGGCGATCCCCTGGCCGAAGACAGGGACTACGGGAATGACTTCATCGAAGACATGATCCCCACCCTGAAGGCCGTCATCCGAGCCGTCAGGTGAGGACCCACCTCCCCGCCCGTGGCCTCCCCAGGCCCCAGCTCTGTCCAGGACAGGGCTTTGTAAAGTGCGCTTGGCTTTGGGGAGGTGGGCGGGAGGCCCCTGGAGTAACCGGAGGCCGATGCAGAGTCTGTCCATACTCTACAGGGGATGCTGCCTGAAGACAAATGATTGTACATCAGCACGTCGTCATGGGGTGTGCTACCCCATAAAGCAGCAGTTCTCAACCTTCCTAATGCCACGACCCTTTAATACGGTTCCTCATGTTGTGGTGACCCCCAATTTCATTGTGACAAATTGAACATAATTAAAGCATAGTGATTAATCACAAAAACAATATGTAATTATATATGTGTTTTCTGATGGTCTTAGGCGACTCCTGTGAAAGGGTCCTTCGACCCCCAAAGGGCTCGCGACCCACAGGTTGAGAACCACTGCCTTAAAGGAAACTTTGATTGGAAGGCCCTTGCCAGGTGGCCCCGTTAGTTAGAGCATCATCCCAATAAGCCGAGGTTGTGGGTTCAATCCCCCTTAAGGCACATACAAGAGTCAGTCAGTGATGCATAAATAAGTGGAACCACAAATCAGTGTTTCTCTCCCTTTCTCTCTCTCTCAAATCAATTTAAAAAAATAAAATATATCCTAAAAACAACACCTGTGATCAGGATACAGGCTTGTAGAAAGTCCACAGTTCACTGCCACAGCGAATTCTAGAAACTAAGTTGGTTCTCCAAGAGCCAGCCATGGTACTTGCAGAAGGTCCCGGAGCAGTGAGTCAGGGAGTGTTATCATACGGGGACCTCCGCAAAGCCATTGGCCTGCTTTCTCCTGACACCGTCGTGTCCAGTGTGACCGCAGTGCCACTGCTGAAACACAGCTCCTGGCTTCCTGCCTGGTGGAATGATCTCGCTCAAGAAGACCCAGGGAGGGATCTGCCAGCCTGGAGGGAGGCCTGTGCTGCCATGCTCCCTGGTCTGCCTTCTGCCCTGTCCTTGTAGCGTGTTCACTGATGCCTTCGTTCAGGGTGGGCAGGCTTTTTTCTGTAAAGAGTCAGATAGTAAATTGGTTACACTTTGTGGCCGTGCATCTCTGCTGCCTGTACTCAACTCTGACTATGTGGTGCCAGAGACAGTCCATACATGGGTGGTGTGGCCGTGTTGCAGCATAACTTTCAACCCAGGCAGTGGGCGGGTCTGGCCTTGGAGCCGCAGTTGGCCGACACCTCCCTCAGTGGAGGTGTGCAAAGGGCAGGCTTATAAAAGGACACGAGGTTGGAGGGGATGGCAAGTCAGTCGGATGGTTGAATCAATATGTCAGAATAGTGCTAAGGGACCGGAGCCGTGGGCTGTGACAGAATGAACTTTGCACAGCGGCCATAAGAAGGCCTGTGTGAGCCCTGGATGGGGTCAGCTCTGTTTCCTACCGCTGACCTGCGGTTAGGGGTTGTAGTTGCCCCGTCTCAGTGGGCACTGGCCTCAGCATGGACTCTGGGGAGCATTAGCCACCCAGGTGGCTGCTGGCTCCCAGGAAGATGGAGGTGAGGGCTTGGCATCTATGAGTCCTGGTGCCCCCTTTACTCAGAGCCTGAGAAAACGGGGGGAGCAGAAGCTAGTTTCTCTTTGTGAGGAGCTTACAAGCCAAAGGACTAAGAAGGCGATTCAGGAAGAGAGATGTCAGCTGTGGACACGGGCCTTGTCAGCATCCAGACCTGGTCTGAGGAGTGCTCCGAGCTCTCAGCCACGGTCTCACCTTCCAGAAAGCGGTCTGTCCGCAGATTGTTCATGAAACACTCAGCTCAGTGCCTGAATGAAGACTCGGGAAATGTTCGCTCGCAGTGTTACTCTGATGTTCTTAGTATGCAAATGATTGAAGGGAGGCACCAAGGCGGAGAGGTTCTACCAGCCTCGTCTGTGTGGCTCGAAAGGCTGGATCCAGGACCCAAATCAGAATGTCTCCCCATCAAGTCCTTTTCTCTTTGGTTCTCTTTTCCCCCACTGCCCCCGAGTTTGCTAGTCTTAAGTTATAGTTTCTCTACACATGACACACACGTCTCTACTTCACCTTACAGGATTTTACAGTTCCGTCTCTATAAGAAAAAATTCAAGGAGACGCTGAGGCCGTATGACGTGAAGGATGTGATTGAGCAGTATTCCGCAGGGCACCTCGACATGCTCTCCCGGATCAAGTACCTTCAGACCAGGTAAGACGGCCGCACGTGGGAGGACGGTGCTCTCCTGACCGCTGAGGAGCCTAAGCCAGGTGGACCTCAGAGCGGAGCGTGCCAGGCCTTCAGAAAGCATGCGAAGTGCAGAGAGAAATTTGAGGAACAAATAAGTCCATCAAGCACTGTGGATGTCAGAGCCAACCAGCTCCAGGTCAAGCAGGCTGGGAGGAAGCTTGGTGACATTGACACGGCCAAGGTCAACCCCCTGATGGGGCCTCGTGGCAAGAAAGCATATGTCCGACTGGCCCCTGGCTGCGATGCTTTGGATGTTGCCAGCCAAGTTGGAATCGTCTAAACCCAGTCCAGCTGGCTAATTCTAAATATAAATTTTCCACCATGTTGAAAAAATGTGCATCAGACGTCAATCCTAATAGCAAAAATATGGAAACAGCAACAATGCCCAGCTAATTGCCACCATATTTTGTTGACCACCTGGGTGCTCTGCCTATATGTGTCTAATCCCTTATCACCCTGTGAGGCAGAGCGTTAAAGGCTCCATTTCACCAATGAGAAAACCAAACCTCAAAGGGCAAAGGACTTGCCAAAACTTACCCAGCCAGGAGGTGGCAGAGCTGGAGAGCAATCCAGGTGTGACTGGTCGCCTCGCTCCTACTCTCTCTAACAGCCGCACCTCCTCAGTCAGAACATAGACCAAGAAATGAACGTAGCCCAGCCTTCGTGGCTCAGTGGTTGAGCACCAACCTAAGAACCAGGAGGTCACAGTTTGATTCCAGGTCAGGGCACATGCCTGGACTGCGGGCTTGATCCCCAGTGTGGGGCCTGCAGGAGGCAGTGGATCAATGATTCTGTCATCATTGGTGTTTCTCTCTCTCTCTCCTCCTTTCCTCTCTGATATCAATAAAAATATGTTTACTTAAAAACAAAAAGGAAAGAACGGAACCTGCTCTCATTCAAGTTATGTAGCCATCAAATGACATTTGCAAAATATATATCATGCGGTGAAAAAATTATATGACCTGTGAATATATTAGTAGCCATAATATGATTACTAATGCACTCAGCCCTAGATATGCACACGTACACATGTCCATATGCATGACTATGTATGTGATTATATTTAGACATATGACTTTATCCTCTGATGGCCAGAGGTGCCTCCCAGCAGCAGAGACCTGCAGAGCCAAGCACAGAGCCTAGGGTGTGGCAGGAAAGGCTACCTCATTGATGAGCTGGAGGCCAGCTAGGCCTGCGGGGCACAGGGCATTTCTGCTGAGAATTAAGGAGACGCCTCCCTCACCCTGTCTCCATGGGCTGGCTGCCTCTCTCTCCCCTGGGATGGGGATGATGCCCTCAACACCAGCGGACCAAAAAAAGATAATCTATTGAGATGATACATTTTCTCTTCTTCTGTCTCTCCCTCCCCCTCTCTCTTTTCCCTTTAATTCCACGTTCCACACCCACACCTGACAGGAGGGATTAGAATGAGTTGCTTTCCTCTCTGCCCATGTAAAGCGCCTTGTCATTTATCCCCTCACTGTGTGTTCTCTTCCAGAATAGATATGATTTTCACCCCTGGACCACCATCGACTCCGAAGCATAAGAAGTCTCAGAAAGGGGCAGCGTTCACCTACCCATCCCAGCAGTCTCCCAGGTGGGGTCTGTGCACAGTGCCGGACAGGCTGTGGGCGCCACAGCCCCGGGGGCGTCCCCGTCCCTGAGTCTCAGTGGTTGCTTTCTGGTCGGGTGAGGTTGCCGGTCCCCGAATGGAGAGTTTGAGGGCTGTTCTGATTTGTGGCCATTTGAAAGGTTTCTGTGCAAACCCTGACCTTCCGTCTCTACGCAGACCACGTGGGTGACACTGTTTTATGGCTGTTGAAAATGAAAAGCATGGTTTCTTTTTTATAAAATAAGAGGTTTTATTGGAGCCAGTCGAATACTTCATAGTAGCAGAACTCGGCACCCATCCACTCCCACTCCTACTGCGTCATCTTTCACGCCATTTTCTAGATTCCGCATGTTTTCCGCTCTTAATAAGATGGGAGGGATGAAATGCTGACCCCCACGGTATAGAATTTCAGGGGTTAGACCCCTCCCTGCGCCCCACCACACACACTTGGGGGAGCTCCCAACCAGCAGCCTGAGACTGAAGCCCAAGGACAGTCATTTCAAGGAACCAAACACTGGGCACAGTCAGGAGCTTGGGTCCCTTCCCTGGCCCACATGGCCTCCGGGATTGAGTGGCCTTTTCGAGCTGCACAAGGGTGCGCGTGGGAGTCATGGCTCCTGGGACCATGGCCCGCCGAGCTGAAGCGACCTGGCAGAGCAAAACCAGGTGTCACAATCTTATAGGCCTGTTGGCTCTTTCCTAGGAACGAACCCTACCTAGCCAGAGCATCCACATCAGAAATGGAAGACCAAAGCATGATGGGGAAGTTTGTGAAAGTCGAAAGACAGGTAGGTCTTTCCTTTTCTGAACCAAAAATCCAGCAAATAAAATTGATTTCCACATGTCACTTTCCTCCCATAGATCAGTAACACACGTGAGTATCTACCATTCCAAAAAGGATGTGGAAATTCAATGCCGATTCTACAATTGCTGGCTGGGTGATCACGTGCACATTAATGAATTGTCCGGAGCCTCAGTGGCCTCATCTGTAAAATGGGGATCTTAATCCTCCCTAAGCTTGCTGTGAAAACGAAATAAATTGATGCATGTAAATTACCTAGAGCAGGAGTGGGTGTACAGGAAGCACTTAGCAAGTGGTAGCTACCATTCTGTGCTTCACAGTGTTCCCTTAAGAAGTGTTTGTTTCCTTCCCCCCTTCCCTAGATCCTTAAGGTTACCCTGGAGAAATGGCACTGTCAGTTGCTATTAGGATTTCTATTCATCCTTCTATTTTATTCATAATTCACAATTGGATCGGTGCAGGAGAGTGAGAGAAAAGCTCAATGATTCTTCTTTTTTGGCCTAAAAAGAATATCATCGTTCAGTTCTAAATTTTAATTTATATTTTGAAAGATCTCAGCCCGTCCACTTACCAGCTCTGTGCCTTTTGACAAGTTACTTCTTCTGCTAGTGCCTCTGTGTCCTCGCCTGCAAAATGAGATACTAGTATTCACTCATAGGGCTGTGAGAAATTAAATGAGGTCGTATCTTGGGAGTGCATAAAGCAGAGTCAGATAGTAACTGCTATGTGTTAGTGACTGACGCTTGGATACCATCTCAGCCATTACCTAATTCTGAGCTGTGCATCCTCATCGGTTGGGGGGGATGATATACCTGCCCACAGTGCTTGCTTGGTGAGTATGACTTGTCAGGGAGAGAAGGTCTCACACACACATGTGTTCATGCACACACACATGCACACATGCATGAGCACAGAGACGCATGCAGGCACACATTCACATTCACACATACATACTCACATGAGCACACACATATACACACATATCACACATGCGCACACAGGCAGGCAGGCACATACGCCGCACGCACACCGGCATATGCACTCACAGAGATTAAATAAATCCCCAGTTCGGAAGGTAGGAGCAGACCCAGCTTATCTCTGTAGCTCCCACTGGCCACCAAGGCCCCCAGGCAGGGTCTCCAGTTCTATGAAGCGCAATCCTTGCTCATCACCGCCCGCATCTTTGGGGCTCACATCACCTCGTAGAAGCAGCAAACACGACAATCCACATGCTTCTGGCTAAGGGAATGCTTGCAAATCAAGGACTCCCGCTCCTCAACCCACACAGCTGGCAGCCTGGCCCCTTCTCCCAGGGGAGAGGGAAGGCCTGTAGCGCCTGTCCTCGCACTCCCCGCCTCCAGCCTTCGCTTAGGCTGCCTGGGTTATGTCTAGATTTGCACCACTTCGTGCGCAGGGCTTGCAATGGGGAGGCACGGACTAGTTGGCCGTCAGCATCAGGACTTCCTTCCCGATAATTAAATGTGGTTGTAGCCTCTCCCGACAGGTGACAGGCACCCGCCCCGAGAAGGCAGTGATCCCGCCTCCTTGTGTTCCAGGTGCAGGACATGGGGAGGAAACTGGACTTCCTGGTGGACATGCACATGCAGCACATGGAGCGGTTGCAGGCGCACATCCCCTGCTATGACCCGGCCAAGGGCACCTCCCCGGCCGCGGAGGAGGAGAGAGGGGACCCCCGGGATTCGGAAATGAAAACCATCCTTTGCAACTATTCTGAGACGGGGCTCCCGGACCCGTCCTTCAGCTTCCACCAGGTGCCCATCGACAAAGTCGGCCCCTATCGGTTCTTCGCCCACGACCCCGTGGGCCTGCCCCGTGGGGGACCCGGACCTGGCAGGGCTCCCGGGACCCTCTCCTCTTCCACCCCGGCGTATATGGAGCGGCCCACCGTCCTGCCCATCTTGACGCTTCTCCCGTCCCCCACTGACCCACACGGCCTCCGGCAGAGACGCAGCTTCACGCGGGACAGCGACACCCCCCTGTCCCTGATGTCAGTGGACCACGAGGAGCTGGAACGGTCTCCCAGTGGCTTCAGCATCTCCCAAGACAGAGACGACGTGTTTGGCCCGGGCGGGGGCTCGAGCTGGATGCGGGAGAAGCGGTACCTGGCCGAGGGCGAGACAGACACGGACACGGACCCCTTCACGCCCAGCAGCTCCATGCCTCTGTCCTCCACGGGGGATGGGATCTCGGATTCCATATGGACCCCATCCAACAAGCCCGTGTAAAGGGGTCCTGGCTGACTCCTGGGAATGTCCACAGACTCTGTATAGCTCACTTGCTCTCACGCCTGACGCTCACCAGTGCGGTCCCCAGTGGCCACATCCGACGCCTGCATGTGCGTGACGGCCCCCAGCAGGGGCCGGCCATGGCCTGTCCTCCCACGCCACCGCCGTGAAGCCGCCTCCTTTCAGCATGGTCTGCATGCCCTTGCACTAGCTCAGTGGTCCACTCGCCTCCTCGGGACACACGCTCACCTGCTCTTCTTTTTGCTCGCGATCGGACCAGTCCAGGGAGAGATCGCCCACGAGCTTTTCATCTGTCTGTCTGGTTGGCTGGTTTGGGTTTGAGTTTGGGTTTGGTAAGCAGGAAGGTAGTTTAGGTTCTTTCTCCGGTCACCACCCCTTTCTGTAAAACAGGCCCGTGGTTGGTCGGCTGTGTGTGAGTGCCAGCCACCAGTGCTCTCACATGCCAGTGAGGGTGCCTCCTGAGCTAAGATGTCAGGAGAGGAGTGAGATAGTCCCACATCGACAAAACCAAGAACCTTCCAAATAGTTTCAGTGAGGCCCAGCCTTCTGAAAGCCCTCCACAGGACCTCACGTGGTCTGCCATTGTCTAGTGTCACGCATCAATTTCCTCATCGTAAAAAATGGTGGTTGTCCCAGTGTAGCATTTCCAATGAGTTATGAGTTGGCGGGGAGAAAACACACACACACACACACACACACACACACACACACATTTAAAGAGTTGCCAATTCCTGTAGCCAAAGATGGTGACATTGATCAGAAGTGGGGTGCCCCTCTGCACAGCAGCCAAGTTCAGTGCCTTCAAAATGAGGTTCCCACTCACACCCTCCCCATGAGACTTACACAGAACACCCACTCAAGTGGAAACCGGAGTCACAGGGCACACGGTCTGTCTGGTCCACGTCTCTTTGTAAAACTGCGAAACCTTCGGCTCAGCTCAAGTGACGTGCCCGGGGCCACGCCGTTGTCCCTGGAGAGCTGGGCCCGGAGCCCAGTCCGCTGGCTCGCTCTGTTCCCTGGGCTCCTGGCCGCACCGCTCTGCCCTTCCTGCAGGGGGCCCGGGAATTGTGCCAAGACACCTGTACCCTGTGTTGTGTGCAAAGCACTTACCACACAGTTTCTCCAGGAGGAGGGGGTTGTCTGCTCTTATTTGCCAGATACACTTCCTGACGCGTTGTGTTTGGGATCCAGAAAAAAAAATAGTACAGGAAAGCTACTTGTAATAGTAATTAATATGCAGATGGGCAGTATTTCCAGAACCGTCCATTTTCACTCCTGCAGATTTTTCAAACCACTCCTAACCATGAGACAGCGGAGGTGTCAGCCCCCAGCCTGCAGAGCACTGCTCCCCTGTATGCATCTCACCATTAATCACAGGCCTCATAAGCTTAAGAGGCTGTGGCCTCTTATGGGATGCCGCTACTCTCTGAAACACTTTGATGGAAAAGGTTTCTGTGAGATTTGGGCTGAATTAGCTAAATGACAGTTCTGCAGTATTATCACCTCACCCTTTTCCGCACATCTCAGCACTGGCTGAGGATGGTCGCCATGGAGACCATCAGGATGATTGAAATGGCGTAAACAAATGTCTGCATGTAAGTGCCACTGATGTCCTCCCTCAGTCTTGTCAAGAGCCATCAGAGCCGTGGCAGACATCTGGTTGACGCCGTCATCATTACCCGATGCAGCGGCCTTACATTCTGCTGGAGAGAGGGGCTATCTCCTCACAGTTCAGTTTCTGTCGACAGGGACTGTACCAGAGGCTCAGCATGCAGTGAGCAGGCAGGGCTGCTGCCTGGCCTGAGGAATTCCTGACAGGTAGAAAGGGCGTTTTACATGGAGAGTGCTCTGAATGGCTGGGTGTTGACCTTGAAGTCTGAGGTGGGAAATACACAAGAATGATCACACACATCGGATATGAAACCCCTTCCCATATGGTTTGCCTTTGACCTTCCAGCAATCTGAAGGGCAAAGGGCATGGCTCATTGGTTCTCTTCTCGGCTCCCCTCAACATGCCTGCCAGTACCATTGGAGTTGGCGCTGGAAAGCCTAAGCCCCTTCCTTAGGGCTTGGTTCTTGATTCTGACCTCCTGGGATCTTTCACCAGAAACGATGGAGCCACCTACCATCTAACATGTTACTGTGTTCTTTTTTATGTATGAGTTATTTGAAACAAAAAAAAAATGGAGAATGAATCAAACAGTCTACATAGGCACCAGTTATTTTCCCCTAACTTATTAATATTCTTGAAGAACCTACTAAGCTTAGTATCTTACAAATAGATCCATTTTCCAGGAACTCAGTGGAGTTCTCAGCTGGAAGAGTGGGACTTCTCATCCTCAAGCTAACAAATAATTACCATGGGCCCAAGGTGAGAGGACTGCCTCAGGGTCTGTTAATAACTTACAAAGGAGAGAGCTTGTATTATTTCCCAAACCGCTGGCGGGCAGGCCAGCTTCCCTGCTGGCTCCTAAGGCCAGGATGGCAGGGACTGGGTTTGTGCTCCTCACCACCAGGTCTCCTACATGTGTATGTCGCCATTATCAGTGCAAAGACCGAATACATTTTTCATGAATGGATAAAGGACAAGACTCAAGAGCTATTCTTTTCCATCTAAAAAAAATCTGAAATCCTTTGCTTTGCTATCCTCTTTGGTTTGAAAAGCAAACCAAACCTGCTCAAGTTGCCTGCCCCCAGGCAGTATCACCAACATGGCTGGCGATGAAGCAGAAATTCAAGGTCTAGGATTGAGCATAAGTTATAGGGAGAAAGTGTGTGCTTCCACAAAGATCTTTGTGTCAGAAGAACAGAATGATGGGATAATCCAACAGCACTGGTTGATAATGTGAAGGTTATACTATTTCAGATGCACCAGAGGTTCTGAAGCTTGCCCAGGAAATTGCAGTTTGAGCAGAATCCCATGAAATAGTGACCAATTAATTCCATTATAAAAAGTAGGAATGATCTTCCCAAGTGAAACTATGGCCTCATTACACAGATCCAGGCTCTGTGTGTCGCAGTATGACACATGAGAATGTGAAGAGGTCATGTTTTATCAGGATCAAAATGAGACAAATTTACTTTCCCAGCGTCAGGTAAAGGGATGTCATTGAGCTGAGAAGAAAGTACTTGATACCAAGTGTGAGTTCTGACTATCAAATACCAGCACACGAGGAAACACAAAAAATATTTTTTTTAATTGTGAGAGAAAGAAACAACAACAAAAAACCCCACACCAAATTGAGAAAGTTCTATTCACTAGCTGCTTTTTCTGGGAACTGAGCTTAGATTTATTAGACATGACATTGATATTATGAAACTCTGGTTTTCATTAAAAAAAACCTACCTAGAAAACCCCAAGGTATACTATAGTTCAAAATTAGCTAATTAATTGACAGTTGTGCATTATGCCTTGCCTATTTTGTGCCAGGCAGTTCCTGGACACTGTAAATTGAAAGAATAATTACTTGTAGGAAATCCTAACATAACAGGATCTACTCATAATTTGCCAAGACCATTCTCATAATTTGATGCCACTGTAATGACTGTAATAAAAACATTATTAATTTACAAGATTAAGCTGTGTGCTGACTCTAGGCAATGCACTTGAAATTCAGAACTATGAAAACCACAGTTCCTGCCATCAAAAAGCTAGGAACTTGGTGGCCTCAAATATTGGAAGTCCCTTCAAACTATGTGTACCACCAATGGCAAGTCTCTGATTTCATCCCTGAAGAACGCTCCACAGACAGGAATGTTTCCTAGCTTGGAGTCACTGGGAGAGAGAACATGGAAGAAATGGAGAGCAAAAATTCTGCATCAAAACGGTAATGACCCCATCAACCAGAGAAGACTGAACGGATTGAAGGGGGACTTTGAGTTTGGGTTCAATGCTTTGGACTTTACAGCCCCAGATAAGCACACGTGAAGAAGGTTCTAGAGTACCTTGGAAGGTTCTGGGGGGCAGTCAGGGGAACAGGGTTTTCCTCTCTAAATCCCTACGAGGATTGAGTTCTGGCAAGTCACTGAGCTACTTTAATTGTGTTGGCCAAGAGAAGCGTGTGGTACAGGCCGAAGACACAGCATCCGTTACAGGAGAAAGGTGGGGCTACCTGTGGGGTCTGCTGATCAGATTCTTCTGGGGCAGGAGAAGAAGTTTATCCAGAGCTCCGAGAAGCGGGCTGCACTTCGGAAAGAGCTGCCAAGCCCACGCCAGGCTTCCCCCAGAAGGTACCACGTAGCTGGTCTGTTTTCCAGGAATACGCTTCCGAGGCATCTAGAACCAAGGCCTCTTGGCCTCCACATAGCACATACGTTTCAGGGGGAAATAAGTTAAAATGAGCTCTAGATACAAGTGACCTGAGTGTGACTACAACGAAGCCGTCAGAAGCCTAGCCCAGTGCTGGGGAACATACTCGTCATTCCTCTTGGACTTGTCAAATGAAGGAAAGTTTGATGCCGACGAGTAATGAAAACTGAGCATGTTCTTCAATGTTCATTGTCCTCTGCCCACAGACGGAGGCCAGGGCAGGGGGAACTGGCCCTAAGCTCTCTGTGAGTTGCCGGCGATGTAATAGTTTTCTCTCTTGACTTCATGCAATCCTCATTGCAGCCCATGGGGGAGGCGTGTGGTCCGCATCCTGCAGGTGAGGACACTGAAGTAGGCAGGGGAAATACCGCGCCATGGGTCACTCATTGTAAGAGTAGATCTGGGAGCATCATCAAAACCCACGTACCTCCAAAGCCCACTCTCCCCCAGCCAAGCCTCCCAGGAAAAGCTGCCAGACCTCGCCCTGCGGTCCTTCACCACCTTGCCTTCCTCCGCCCCGTCAGCTTTCTAGTAAAATGATCATAGACGAATCGCTCCCCTGGAGGAAAGAGAGTCCAGTGTTGGTTGCTCCACTTGGCTATTCAGCGGGTCCTGCCTGTTGCTTTGAGTGGTTTCACAGCCAGCTTCTGTCAGTGGCAGGAAACTGCCACGTAAAGCATTCATCTGGTCCATGTTGGAATCCGTCGGCTCTTAGAGGTGGGTGTGGCTGCAGATAATCCCCTGAGCACCCCTTGTTCTCGGTCCCCAAGGATCTCCTGTCATTGTTTTAAACAAGGTCAACTGTCCCTCTAGAGCAGGGGTGGGCAAACTTTTTGACTCGAGGGCCACAATGGGTTCTTAAACTGGACCGGAGGCCAGAACAAAAGCATGGATGGAGTGTTGGTGTGAACTAATATAAATTCAAAGTAAACATCATTACACAAAAGGGTACGGCCTTTTTTTTTTTTTTTAGTTTTATTCATTTCAAACGGGCTGGATCCGGCCCGTGGGCCGTAGTTTGCCCACGGCTGCTCTAGACTCTGGTCTTCTGTGTCTAGGCTGCACCTTTATGTCAGGTCTTTGAAAACCTGCAGAAACAGGTGCATCTTCCAAAACACTCTGTGTTTCTCTTTATTGATGGGAAAAGATCAAGGTTCCCAGGAGAAGCCAGCTCTGGGGATGGGGCCTTCTTCGCCCTCTGAGGACTTTTTCAAGGAGAGGAGAGCAGCCTCCCCTTCCACATGCGAGGGCTGTGTCCAGGCGGGAGGCCAGGTTCCAAGATGGGTGGAGTCATTTTATCAAGTGTCGGAGGTTTTGCTGCTGGAGACAAGAGGCAGGCTCCATCTTGAAAATCCCCGTAGAAAGATGGGCCAATTGCATCAGCTTTGTCCATCATCCCATTTTAATGAGAAAAATGCTCTCTCTGTTGCTTCCGATGTGACATGGCTGTTCTTTTTTTCTCTTTCTAATGTAGCCGTGATGGAAAACAGAGACTCACTGTATTTGCTTTGGGATTGTATTTTCTTTAACCCCCTTTTACGGCATAGAAATCTGGTGCCTTGCTCCCTGAAATTGTCTCCATGCTATGAGTGCGCTTTCTTCACCTTCTGGCTTACACGGGAACATTCCACAAGTGGCCTTGAGTGCTCTTTATAATATCATTTACTATGATTTTTAAACTGTACGTGTACTTTATATTCTGGCTCCGTCCAATATTTGAACAACTTTAATAGGTTGATTTCCATATATATTATGCAAATAATTCTTACCTGATTTTTTATGTTCTCTCTTAAAACAAGTTAAATACTGCACCACTTATTAATAAATAGACATTTCAATGATTATGTGGCGGAATGTTATTTGCTTCGATGATGACAAGGAGTGACAAAAAAAGAATTGGTTATTGGTTGCAGGTGGGGCAATGAGGGAGCCAAGTATATTTGTAAGACGCGAGGAAAGAAGCAGTTGAGAGGGAGAGAATAAACAAGAAAGAACATGGTGAGGGAGTGAAGACCCAGAGGAAGACGGGTGGATGCTCACAGCCGTGAAGAGCGTGCTGTGGGGGTTGCTCATTTCCTTGGAAACAGCCACTGTGCAGGCTGTGGACGTACAGGGTTTAATAAGACCTTATCCAATTATTACAGTTTTAAGACATTACTACTCCCACTTTACAGATGAGGAAATCGAGGCCCAGAAACATCAAAGGACCTGCCCAACGCCAGACACTAATAAGTGGAAGAGTCACACACAGACCCAGGACTTCCTGCCCCTGGGCCGCATGTGACTTCCTTTGGAGAAGGTCCCCCCCCCCCCCCGGAAGCCACAGAGGAGGAAAGCAGGGTGACTCAGAGACAGAGTCAAAGGTCATTTCAGACCCCCTCTCCTTTGTCAGTGTAACAGGAGGAGGTGTTTTCTCATGAGAGGGTGAGTTAGGGTGGGAACCTCAGGGTTTGTGCCTTAATTTACCACCTGTAAAGTGGGGCGAGTACTGTCTACCTTGAACGGTCGTTACCTGGGTTGATGTGAGTAGAGAACTTAGGGTCCAGCACACAGCACATCCTCAGTGAGTAACTGCTTGCGACCTTACCCTTGCCCACAGGCCCGGGCTCCACAGGCAGAGAGACAGGTGCTGGTGCAGAGCGTTTATTTGGGAAGTGATCTCAGGAAACGCAACTGAGATGGTAAGGCGTATGGGGGAAGGGCCAGTGAAGAGCGGGCTCAGTCCACCAGGACCCCTCTAAGGACCCACATAAATGCACCCCGGAATTGTCCCACCTTGGGCAGAGTCTGGGCCACTCCTCCGATCACGCCTCTTCTCTAAATGCCTCCCTCTGACAGGTCTCCCTGTGCCACAGTCAGGCCAGCTCTGAGGAGCAGGACGGCACGGCCAGTGGCGCTGGGGGCTGTCAGTGTGCTGCGACCCACCTAGCGCAACTGCAGGTGAACTCGGGTGGGGGGAGGGCACTCGGGGTGGGGTATCAGCATCTGGCGCCTGCGCCCACCTGAAATCCCTACAGTCACAAAGGTAAACAGAACCGGCCAGGTTGCCCCAGTTCACGCTCTAAGTCAAAGCCAGCACTGGGCAGCCGAGCCATGATGCCCGTGGGCATGACTCATGGTGAAAACAGTGCTTTAGCTTCTAGGAACCGGAGCAGATGATGCTCTTCTGGTACAAGGTCAGGATCCAGCTCCGGGGCACACATCTGTCATCACTAAGCCCGAGGCCGACTTTGCAATGATGAGCAGAGCATCCACTCCAGCAACCATTCATTCCTCCCCCAACCAAACTCCCCCGCCCCCAGCCTCCTCCGTATGACAGGCAGAGAAAGAGCCTAAAAGTTATATCCCTGAGAAAATGCCTTCCCATCTGCACAAACGGAGCAAGCCCATTCACAGCCTCCAGTCCCAGATACCCCTGGGGACAGTTACTGTTCCCAATAATGTCCGTTTCCAACAATGAGCCGGAGCATCCAGGTGACCTGGGACCCAATGGTTTCCCAGGAAGACGTGTAAGGTGTCTCCCCTGAGGAACGACCCCATTGTCCTTGTACCCTGCCTCCACCTAGATTATGGAAACGCGCCCAGCGGTGTACCTCCTGGCCCTGGGCAGGTCAGCCTCAGGCCAGGGGAGTCAGCAGAGAGGAGAGGAGGAAGACACAATCAGAGGGGCGACAGGACAGGTCATGAAGGGCCTCGTGGGCCATTTCAAGGACATTTGCTTTGACTCTGAGTCAGACAGGAAGTCACTGAGTAGAGGGGTGACAAGATCTGATCTTTGCTAACGGGGTTCTCTGGCTTTTGTGTTGAGAACCCTGAAGGAGGCGAGGACAGCAGCAGGGAGATTAGTCAGGAGTGGTATTGTCGCTGACAAATCCATGCAGGTGAAAAGCAGATGGCGGCCTGGGGCCGCGGGTGGGTGGAAGGATTGACTGTAAATGGGCACAAAGATCTCACTGGCTGGCAAAAATATCCCCAAACTAGACTGTGTGATGGTCATCCAACTTGTCAAATTTAAAAATTACAATGAGTGAAGTTAACAGGATATAAATTACACCTCAACACAGTTGTTTAAGAGATCTCACCTGGCCACCACGGCTCAGTTGTTGAGTGTGGACCTATGAACCCGGAGGTCACGGTTCGACTCCCGGTCAGGGCACACGCCCAGATTGAGGGCTCGATCCCCAGTAGGGGCATGTAGGAGGCAGCTGATCAGTGATTCTGTCTCATCATCGATGTTTCGATCTTTCTCTCCCTCTTCCTTCCTCTCTGAAATCAATACAACTGTATTTTAAAAAAAAAAAAGATTTCTATGGCTGATATAAGGGACAGTCATGCAGGGAACCAAGAGTGGTAGCAGGTGACAAGTTAGCAAGAATTTCAGAAGCCCAGACAAGGAAGACCAGCCTTGAGCTTGGGTGGTACAAGCAGAAGGAACATGACTGTGCAGGTTCTTCTAGGCCTGGGGTTGGCAAATTTCTCCTGTAAAGGGCCAGAGGGTCAGTACCTCAGGCTTTGCGGGCCATGGGTCTCTGTCCCAACTTCTCAACGGGGCCGTGGTAGCACACACAGCCTCGGAGAGGAAGAATGAGCGCAGCAATGTGCCAATAACACTTTATTTGGAAACATTGGAATTTGAATTTCATATCATTTTACGTGTCACAAAATACTGTTCTTTTTATTTTTTCGCCCTAAACCCATCTGAGCCAGGAACATAGGCAGCCGGGCCCAGGCTGGCCGCCCCAGCTCCGGGCACCTGCCGAAAGGGGTGAGCGCTGCCTCCGCCCGCACGCCAGGGGCCGCTTGGCTCCCAGACCCGCCGACAGGAAGGGGAAATCATCGCTCAGGGTCCTGCCTGCTCCTCCAATTCACATAATTGCCGCCGGGAGCGCGTTCCAGCCCACGCTGAATTGCGGCTTTGTCATTCCGCTCACGGTTCTATTCAGCCCCAGCCCCGCACTTTTCTCCAGTGAAGTTGATCCAGTTTCATCCCCCTGAGTTCTTGGTAGAATTATTATTCCATCCCCCTCTCCCCCCCGCCCGCCCCAGGACTTAAAGCGAAATGATCAAGGCTTCCCCACCCCCCGCCTCCTGTATCTTTCACTAAGAACTCATATAAACCCACAGCCCTGCCTGAGCTGCTAATCCCTCTGGCTGCCGAAACCCTTTGAAGCCGCTGACCCTGCTCAGGAGACAGGTAAGTCATTCACTGTCGATACTCCAAAGCCCTCCGGCTTCCTCTCCCCCCTCCGCCCCCCTAAAGCGTGGAGCCAGCGAAGAATGCATCTGCCATGGACCCCAAACCCTGGGCTCCTGGATGCTGAGAGGTGAGCAGGAGGAAGCTGGGCGTTCTGTCACCCAATACCCACGTGGCACTTGTCTGACTGAGCCTTAGTTTCCTCAAACCATTAAATAAGGGTCATCAGCCCGGCCTGTGTGGCTCAGTGGTTGAGGGTCGACCTATGACCCAGGAGGTCACAGTTTGATTCCCGGTCAGGGCACCTGCCCGGGTTGCAGGCTTGATCCCCAGTAAGGGGCGTGCAGGAGGCAGCCGATCCATGATTCTCTCTCATCATTGATGTTTCTAGCTCTCCCTCCCTCCCTCTCCTTTTCTCTCTGAAGTCAATAAAGATATTTTTAAAAAACAAAATAATGACAACCAAGTAGGGTTGCTTCGAGGACCAGTGGGAGGCCACATGGAAAGTTCCTGGCACAGCACATGGTCAACAGATACTAGATTCTGCACCTCGTTTTCTGCGTCAGCTATCTTTAAAAAGGCAGAACTATTGCTGGAAAGGGGGCCTGGTCCTGCCGGGTCTGCCCGGGGCAGGAAAGATGTCCCACAACACGAATCCAGGTGGCTTTGAAAGTCTGTCTATTAAAGCTGGGGACGGTGAAGCAAGGGAGGGCCAAGCAAGGAAGGGCCAGGATGGAAGAAGCCACAGGAACGCCCAGGCCGGGCTGCCCTGGTCCCTGGGTATCAGAGAAAAGGGGGCCTTGGAGACAGGTTCAGGGGGTGAGCCGGGGCGAGCAACCACTGCCCATTGCTCTCCTGGTTGCAAGTCTCCTGGGTCCCTTAGAGTTTGGGAAATGCAGCCTGTGGGGGAGGGGAAGGGGGAGGGAGAGGGTGCTGGGTCCTCTGTCCTAGGGCTTTTAAGGGTGGGATTTCAGGGGAGGCCTCAGGGCAGGGTTTCGGCAGAATATTCCAGGTGTGCCCTGTCAGGGTCATGTCCTCCACGGATTGGTCAGCGCCAGGGCGGTCATTAGTCATGGCAGCTGGTCCTGGCCTCGCCCTCCTGGTTTTGCTACTTTTCTGGGCCTGGGGCTGAAATACAGCCGAGGCCTAGATCAGTGGTTCTCAACCTTGGCTGCACATTAGAATCACCTGGGAATCTTTTTAAAATCCTGATTTCTGGGCCTTATCCTCCGGAAATTCTTTCTTTGTTACTAATGTTGTGGCCTCACCTCATAACAAACAGAATTTCCGGAGGATGAGGCCAAGAAGTCAGGATTTTAAAAAGATTCCCAGGTGACTCTAATGTGCAGCCAAGGTTGAGAACCACTGGCCTAGATGTTGGCTCCAGGGAGGCGGCCTTCCCTATCTGGCTGTAAATCTCTCGGCCAGTCTGTTCAGCCACCTGCCTCAGTTTCCCCGATCCACTTGGCAAGGGATTTCCCTAGCTTCTTCCTATGCTACCTCAGAACCTCAGCCTTCAGTATTGTCGGCCAGGCCTGAGTGTGCAGCCTGGGCTGCCGCTCCCTGTGGAAGGACCCTGGGCCAGTGGTCTGGCACCCCGGGTCCCCTGAGTCCCCCCTCAGGAGGAGGGAGCTGACACTTAGGCTGAAGGCGGCTGTCGCTCTCCCCGCGGCTGCCCAGACGAGAGGGGACTTCGGCATGAGTCCCCGCAGCACAGAGCCTCCCGAGGATTCTCTGTCTGACGGGGCACCTTCCTTCGGCTGCCCAGTGCGGTGAGGAGGGCGGGGTCCTTGGCGGCTAAGCTAACCGTGGCCGACGGTGACCCTTGTGAAGGGGAAGTCATGCAATGTGAGGCTCCAGGGACAAACTGTGAGTTCATTTCATAAGAATTTTGGGCCGATTCTTGGCTCCTCGGTCACAACAGCATTCCGCAGCCCTTTTCGGGGTGTGTGACTGAATTTCTAACTCGGTCCAGCCACCCAAAGGCTTTGCAATAATAACCCTGTTTGTCCTCAACGTCAGGCCCATTCCTGGCCATCCAAGAGGGCGTTTCGATGGGCGGGGGAATAGAGTAAAAGGTGGTGGGAAAGGACACAGACTTTAGCATCTGAGGGACCTCAGTTCAAATCCCAGTTGTCCCACTTACCAGCCCTGGAACCAAGGGGCTCCACCTCTGGTCTGTGGGGTCTTCTCTGATGTCATCGGAATGTCAGGTCTCTCTCAGAGGATGATGGAAAAGGTAAAATAACAGAGACAAGTGGGGGGCGGGGAGGGGAGAAGAAAATAAGAGATGATGCCTAAAAGTGAAGGCTGTCAATTATTCTGTTGGAGAGTTTCCTCCACACTCTTAGGTTCGGGGACAGGGTCCTGCAAATTCAACTGGCAAAAGACAGGGTGACAGCACAAAAACATTTAAAGCTCGTGTCCAGCGTGGCATCCAGACGAGACACCAGTCCCTACCTACCAATAATTAAAAAGCCATTTAAATGTTTATGAGGATCTTTCAACAAAATTCCAAAGGTGGGTCCAGCCAGATGGACCACAGAACTTCTTAAAAGATGTTCTCAATTTGCCACGAAGATGCTCAATTCCTAAGTCGCTTTCCTCAACCCCACTTCCTCTTGACGTTCCTCCCCTCCCCAATTCGCCTTCCAGATCTATTTCATTCTCCACCAACGGCAAATGCCTGCTCTTTTCACATCACGCCTGTGCAGGCTGGGTGCTAAATGGGAATTACGCGAATACTGACACACACAGGTTCTGTGGTTGTTAAGTGATGATATGCGTCAGACGGCATTTCGTGTGGTGTCTGGCACCCAGACAGCACTCAGGAAATTGTCACCATTATTCTCATTAGTCTCAGCTCTGCAGCCTCCACTGTCACACTAATTCTGCACAGCAAGTCCCAGGGGGACCGCTGGGACACAAAGGCAAGCAGGTCTGAGCACTCACACACACTCACATGTTAAATGTTCCCTAAGCAGCTAGGATGCTGCATGTGGAGGGTCGCTCCCATCTAAACAGCCAGAAAAGCCATGGACTAGACACTGATTCTCCCTGAAAAGGGGTGCACGCCCCCTCCTACTCCCAGATCTCCTTCGGGTAGGCAGGGCCGCGTGAGTGATTCTGGCGTGGGCTGTAAGTAAAAGTGAGTGTGTCCGTGCCCGCCAGAGCATTTACGAGTTGGTACACAGGCCCGGTCGGCGTGGCTCAGTGGATAGAGCGTCGGCCTGCGGACTGAAGGGTCCCAGGTTTGATTCCGGTCAAGGGCACATGCCCAGGTTGTGGGTTCGATCCCCAGTTGGGGGCATGCAGGAGGCAGCCAAGCAATGATTCTCTCTCATCATTGATGTTTCTATCTCTCTCTCCCTCTCCCTTCCTCTCTGAAATCAATAAAAATGTATTTTTTTTAAAAAGAGAGAGATGGTACACCAGTGATGGCACACCTATGACACGCGTGTCAGAGATGACGTGTGAACTCATTTTTTTGGTTGATTTTTCTTTGTTAAGTGGCATTTAAATATATAAAATAAATATCAAAAATATACATCTTTGTTTTACTATGGTTGCAAAGATCAAAAAATGTCTATATGTGACACGGCCCCAGAGTTAAGTTAGGGTTTTTCAAAATGCTGACACGCCGAGCTCAAAAGGTTCGCCATCACTGTGGCACACAGTCCTCTGCTCCCTCCCCTCCACTGCGCAATGAATCAATGGCTAGGTGGCCACAAGGCCCAGATGGAGACTTACAAGCCCGCGGAGCCTCCGCCAGCCAGGGGCCCTGAGAGACGGTGTGGTTCCCTCGCATAGCCTGCCTTCTGCTGACTATTCTGAGCCTTCTCAGCATGTGCTTCTCATGACGCCCAGGCGGCGTTCGCAAGGATGGTCTGACCCAGGGGTCCTCAAACTACGGCCCGCGGGCCACATGCAAATACAAATAGTGTATTTGTTCCCGTTTTGGTTTTTTACTTCAAAATAAGATATGTGCAGTGTGCATAGGAATTTGTTCATAGTTTTTTTTTAAACTGTAGTCCGGCCCTCCAACGGTCTGAGGGACAGTGAACTGGCCCCCTGTTTAAAAAGTTTGAGGACCCCTGGTGACCGATGCTTGCTCGTCCCCAGGTGGTCCCGGACGCCGCCAGCATGCCGGGCTTCCCGGTGCGCGGAGCCCCGGGGAGGCTGTGCGTGGGCCTCGCCTGCGCCCTGGGCCTTTGGAACGCAGGTGGGTCCGGTGGGAGTTCGGGAAGTGTCTGGTCTGGGTGCTGAGCGTGGGACTCATTGTGCCGTAGGGACGGGCAGCCGTCAGCATTTCAGGCCAGACCCCTCAACGCGTTTGCCCGAAGTGGCAATGATAACGTCCCCATTTCTGGTTTTGGTCCCTGACTTTTTGCAATTGGGCGCCGTTTATGCAACAGAATTATCTCCACCGCCACCGTTCCCGCTCTTGCCCAAACGTCTTCTCTTTCCCGGGCCTCGAAGTCAGCTCCCGGCTTCTCCTCGCATCTCTCCAGGGTCTGCTCTGCCCTCACCTGCCTGACTGATCCCCTCAGAAAGCTCATGATGTCACCTTCTAAGTTCCTCCCTCATTTCTATCCCCTCCAAGTAGTTATCCAGCAACTGCCCACTTCTTTTCGGAGGGGACCTCACGTCTTTACCTGATGGGACCTGCCCCTGCCCCCCACGCCTGGGCCACTTCCTGCAACCCCCACCTTCTTCCTCATTCCCTGAGTCCCATCACTGCTGGCCTCTTTCGCTTCTTTAAAGTCACGCTCACGTCCATCTCGGACGCCGGGCACTGCTAGCTGCACACCGGACAGCTCCTCCGCCTGATAACCCACTGACACCCTCTCCCGCCTCAGGTCTCCGCTGGCTGTCACCTCCCAGGGAACCCTTTCAGATCACTGGGATTGCGTCAGGCTCCATTATAAGCCCCCAGGTGCCCTTCGAAGTACCTAACATTGTTCATAATAATATGCCGAGCCTGCATTTTCTGGATGTCTGCCTTCCCGGCTAGAATGAGATCCATAGGACGGAGTCTGTATCCGTTTATACCGCCCTGGCAGCGAACACACACAAGGCCTGTGCAAGTCCAGGTGCTGAATAGCGTCATCCATCCTTAGCACCATCCCCGCCGGTCAGTACATATCTGATGACTAAGTGACCGAACGACAAGCTACGTGTGGGATTGTCAGCTGCATCACCGTCTCAGACCATCATGTCCTCGTCTTTCACCTGAGTATTTTGGGTTCATTCACTCTGAGGTCATGTCTGGGTTATAATTTTCCTGATGAAAACTCTTTTTATTTTAGTGGCTGCTATTAAAGGAGAAGCCAAGAAGGAAAAGGTCACAACCTTCCTACCGACAACAGGTACATGGGCAGGTGCTTCTCCCAGCTCACTCTGTCTTGGGCAAATTCCTTGGCTTCTCGGAGCCTCAGTTTCTCCATCTGTAAAATGGGGAGTGTGTCTATAGCTCAAGCTCTCACAGTCATAGGTACAGTTTCTATGAGTTGCTCATCGCTTTACGGTTCAGGGAACTCCTGGATTCTCCTGATCTCATTAAACCCACAAAGACCCTGACATTCTATGAGCGATGGAAGATTTCACAATGGGAGGTATTGTAATATGCCGCCATCATCGCCTTTGAAATAAGTCCATCTTTCTTTGCAGTTTTTTTTTTTTCTTTTTTGGCATCTGGGCAAGAGGGTGAATGCATTCCAACATCAAGCACACTTCCGGGTCAGGGGCTGGGTTTCTGTTTCTCACCTTTTGCTAAATGCACGGGGTAAATGTTTTGTTTGCTTTTGCTTTGGGGGAGTGAGATGGGCATTACTCTTTCTTTTTAAAATTTCACTTACTTTTAATTAGCACATTCATATGAGTCAAAATGCAAATGGTACAAAGTGTGTAAAGTTGAAATGCTCTCCTAGCCCACCAGAGGACACCGTTTATACTGATTTCTTGTATTAATTTTCTTTTCTTTTTTTTTTTAAATGTTTATTGTTGACAGTATTTCAGCTGTCTCCCATTTTCTCCCTTTTTGCCCCCCCTCCACCCAGCCCAGCCCCACCCCAGGCCTTCCCCATGCTATTGCCTGTGTCCAGGGGTTATGCATATAGTATAAATTAGAGGCCTGATGCACGAAAATTCATGCAAGAGTAGGCCTTCCTTCCCCCGGCCATGGGCACCAGCTTCCCTCCAGCACTGGTGACCCAGGCTGCTTCGCTCCGGCCATTGGCCAGCACCTGGGACCCAGGGGGCTTTGCTCCAGCCCTGGCTTTGTCGGGAAGGACAGCTGGTCTAATTAGCATATTACCCTTTTATTATTATAGGTGTTCTTTGGTTAATCTCTTCCTGTCCCCTCTCCCGACTTCCTGCCACTGAGATTTGTTACTGTTTTGTGCATCCATCCCTCTGGATAGATTCTGTTCGTCGGTTTATTTTGTTCTTTAGATGCCACGTATAAGTGAGATCATGTGACACTTGTCTTTCTCTGACTGGCTTATTTCGCTTAGCATGGTAGCCTCCAGGTCCCTCCAGGGCCCGGAGGGTAAGAGAGCCTTCTTTTCTACAGCTAAGCAGATACTTTCCAATAAACATGTCCCCTGTTTGAGCCTCCAGTTTCCTCCTCTTTAAATGGTAACAACAGTTCTACTGTCCAATTAATAAAAGAATAAAAGGCGATAAAAATACTAAGGGTGCATAAGTATGGAAAGTGCCAATGGTGGCAAAGTTACTAGAATGGTGGCCTTTTGATGTAAAGAGAGAGCACCAGTTGTCGATGGTCTGTCTAAACAAATGGATTTGAAAAGGGCTGTGGCGTAGCATCCTATTCAGAAACCCCTACTTTAGGGAGTTCAAGTCACACTGCAAATATTGTTATCAAAACCCACCCATGGGTTTGTCATTGTAAAAAGGGGGTGGTGGAAATAATTTCTTTCTGGGAAAGCAGTGGTGTTTGAGTAAAGTTCTTGGTCCCAGCCAGCGTGTCTCAGTGGTTGAGCATCAACCTATGAGCCAGAGGTCCCAGTTCAATTCCCCGTCAGGGCACAGGCGCAGGTTGTGGGCTCAATTCCCAGTGTGGGGCGTGCAGGAGGCAGCCGATCAGTGATTCTCTCTCATCATTGATGCTTCTCTCTCTCCCTCCCTCCCTCCCTCTTCCTCTCTGACATCAATAAAAATATTATAAATAAATGAAAAGAATGAAAGAAAGAGGAAGAAGGAAGAAATGAAGGAAGGAAGGAAGGAAGGAAGGAAAGAAAGAAAGAAAGAAAGAAAGAAAGAAAGAAAGACAGACTGGCTATCATCAACAAATCAACAAACGACAAGTGCTGGAGAGGATGTGGAGAAAAAGGAACACTTGTGCACTGCTGGTGGGAATGCAGACTGGTGCAGCCACTATGGAAGACAGTATGGAGTTTCCTTAAAAAACTGAAAATGGAACTCCCATTTGACCCTGTGATCCCACTTCTAGGAATATATCCCAAGAAACCAGAAACACCAATCAGAAAGGATATATGCACCCCTATGTTCATAGCAGCACAATTCACCATAGCTAAGATCTGGAAACAGCCTAAGTGCCCATCAGTAGATGAATGGATTAGAAAACTGTGGTACATCTACACGATGGAATACTATGCTGCTCTAAAAAGGAAGGAACTCTTACCATTTGCAACGTCATGGATGGAACTGGAGAGCATTATGCTAAGTGAAATAAGCCAGTCAATGAAGGAAAAATACCACATGATCTCACTCATTCATGGATAATACAGACCATTATAAACTTTTGAACAATAATAGATACAGAGGCAGAGCTGCCTCAAACAGATTGTCAAACTGCAGCAGGAAGGCCGGGGAGGGTTACGGGGCAGGAGGTAGGGGGGTAAGAGATCAACTAAAGGACTTGTATGCATGCATAGAAGCATAACCAGTGGACATAAGACATTGGGGGATAGGGGAGGCTAGGGGACTGTCTAGGGCGGGGGGATAAAATGGACACATATGTAATACCCTTTGTAATACTTTAAGCAATAAAATAAAAAAAAAAAAAAAAAAAAGAAAGAAAGAAGAAAGAAAGAAAGAAAAGGAAGAAAGGTTCTTGGTTGGGAAGATGGCTCAGGGCCCATGATTCAGGTGTAGGGATCCCGCGAGCCCGGCAGCCTGTAGCATCCCTACAGCCTGGCGATCAAACCCAGATCCCTTCTCAGGCCCTCATCCCTTGCCTGTATGGAGGCCTCTGCTTCCCGGCCCCGTGACAGACACAGCAGTCAGTGCCGCCCGCCTCAGAGCGGCTGCTTTAGGTGGGCTCTCAGGCGGCTGCTCAGAGGGAGAGCTGAGCTCTCCACCCCGGAGCACAGCCCGTTGGAAAGCTCTGGGCCTGCTGGGTGGTAGATGTGTGTCTCAGGCTTCCTTTTGTGGTAACATAACCAGCCCCCCCCCCCCCCCCCGCACAGCCATATTATAAAAAAGGGGAACCATAGCCCCCCTACCTCTCACCCCAAAGCTCTGATATTTAACCAAAAAGCCTGATAATCGGCCGGACCAGCTTTCAACAGGGTACCTGGAAAGCAGGGGGCAACCCAAGTGTCCGTCCACAGGCGAGTGGACAAAGCAAGTGTGGGGGTTGCACACCACGGAATATTATCCAGCCCCAAAGAGGAAGGCGATCCGGGCAGAGGCAGCGACGGGAGTGGGCCTGGAGGACTTCGTGCTGAGGGAAACAAGTCAGTGTCAGAAGGACAAACACCGCATGCTGTCGCTTCCATCGGAATCTAAAATAGTCAAACTCAGCCCGGCCGGCGGGGCTCAGTGACTGGGCGCTGACCTATGAACCAGGAGGTCAGGGCACAGGCCCAGGTTGTGGGCTGGATCCCCAGTAAGGGGCGTGCAGGAGGCAACCAATCAATGATTCCCTCTCATCATTGATGTTTCTATCTCTCTCTCCCTCTCTAAAATCAATAAAAATATTTAAAAAATAAAATAGTCAAACGCACAGAAGCAGGAGGGAGAAAGGTGATTCCAGGGGCTGGGGCTGGGGCTGGTGGAGGGGAGCAGGGCCACCAGCCAGGCGTGGGCAGTAGGAACTTCGCTCCCCTTTTTCATGGGCCTCGGAGTCCTCACCCTTCCAGGGAGCGCTGGGCAAGATGCTCCTAAGGCTGTCATCAATTCTGTGAGGCTCTGCTCCCGTGGTGCCATTTGAGTCCTGAAAACTTGCATTGCAGGGGCTGGCAATGAAGAAGCCGGGAAGGAAAAAGCCGGGGCTTTCCTTGGTGCGACAGGTAACGAGGCCTTTAGTCCCGGCTGTGACACTGTAACCCGGGAACGCCCGTCTCGGCTTCTCCGGGCCTCGGTCTTTCCATCTGTGGAATGGGCATAAGGCACTTTCTCCACCGGAAGGCCACATGGAAAGTAGCCATTGCAACTAGAATAGTAACACGTGCTGTATGATTAAATGGCATCTCATCCACAGCAACGGATCTTCCAGATCTCGGCTTTACGTCACTTCCACGGTCGGGGGCCTTCTCCATCCCCTAGACCAGGTTGGGTGCTCACGGCACCGCATCGTTCCCTGTTTGATGCTCCTCACGTGCCATACACGTGACTCTCCCTCCTCCCCCCTGAGCCACAGACAGTAAAAGCCACAGACGGGGAGCTGGAGACCTGGTCCTTTTCCTTGACCCATTAACCCCACACCTCGCACACTGCTCGGCCCTCGGGGGGTGCTTGTTGAATGAACGAAGAATGACTGAATGCTCGGCTTTTCAGCATTCCCTTTGACATGTCCTTCTTGGAGGCCACAAACTGCCGTGCGGGCAACTGGCCTAATGTTTTGAAGGCCCGGGCTCTCCGCTCTAGGAAGTAGGTCCTGACCCTTCCCCAGGGGCTCAGATGTGCAAGTTTAGGCAAGTTTCTCTCCCTCTCTGAGCCTCGGGCTCCTACCTGAGTAAAGGGCGAGGCCGACGAGTCCCCTGCACCGGAATCGCCTGCCTCTTCTTTAGAAGGTGCACGTCAAGGCCGCCGGTGGGCCCAGGAGGCCAGACTCTCCAGCGGCCACTTGGAATCGGCCCTTTCACATGGTCCCCAGGGACCGTCGCGGCCACCGGCCTGAGGACTGCGCAGGGCAGCCTCGCAGCTCCGCCAGCAGCGCGGGGCTGGGGTGGGAGGCCCCATTTCCCCAAGAGGAGGCTCCTGAAGGTGAGCCACGAGGAGCCATTCTCTTCCAGAGCTGCCGGCGGGGGCAGCGGCGGACCTGTCCGCACTGAGCCTGACGGAGGTGGTGAACGGCATGCTGAGCAGAGCGTTACAAGGTCAGCTTTTCTTGCCCAACCGCGTGGCTCGGGGGTTGAGCTTCGACCTATGCACCAGGAGGTCACGGTTTGAGTCCTGGTCGGGGCACATGCCCGGGGTGTGGGCTTGATCCCAGTGGGGGGTGCGCAGGAGGCAGCTGATAATGATTCCCTCTCATCATTGATGTTTCCATCTCTCTCCTTCTCCCTTCCTCTCTGAAATCAATAAAAATATATTTAACAACAACAAAGGTAAGCTGTACTTAACAGCACCATCCAGGCCCCCCCGGCCTTGGGCCAGCTTCTCTGCTGGACTCTGTGGCCTGGGCCCACGCGTGAGCCAGCTCCCCTTGCTCAGCGTGAGGGTGTGCGGTCCTCGCTAACTCGGGCGGGCAGGACACACCCGTGCAGGAGGGCTGCCAGCACTGTGAGAGCCGGCCTGTCCCACACGCCAGGTGCCCCGTTCCCGGCCACGACTGCCTTCAGAGAGAGCTGTCCTAGATCCAGGGCCATTCATGCAACAGCTCTTTACGGAGCACAGAAAATGCAGCCAAGTGACGTGTATTTTTGCATTTTTTAATTTGCTTTTATTTTATTTGTTAAGTCACTTTATCAGGTGTCCGCTGTGTTGTTAATTTCTGTGATCGGTTTGCGAATGTACGTTGCTATTTACTTTTGTCAGTAGGCGCATGTCCGTTTCTGTATCTCGGTGTCGTTGGCAGATCGCAAGAAGTTCTTCTCCTTGCTCAGCATCACGTCCTACAGCTCCTTTGCCTTCCACAAGCTCTCCGTGGCCCTTTACAACAGTGAGTGCCTCCTGGCGGCCATCACGGCGGGCGGTGCACCGCGGGGACAGGCGGCGTCAGGACCCTGTGCGGACGGTTTCTCTTCACAGTTTCTCACCTGAAGACAGTGGACCAGGCCACGTTCCCCACGCGGTACTGCTACTGCTTAAGCAATCGGACCAATGACCTCTCAGGTGGGTGGGACTACCTACTGCTTCAACTATCAAACCAATATCCTGTCAGGTGGGAAACTGTGGGGTGAGACAGGAAGGGTGTTGCAGATCATGTAGAAGTTTGTAGGATAACGGGGGAAAGCAAGTCAGCAAAACCATTACTCAACAATGTGGCCTTGCACAGCTCTTGGGGTTGGCAGACAAGGGTTGGGGGAAGAGGGCAATGGAGGAGAAAGGGGGTTTATAACGGCGGGTCCAAAAAGTGTTCTGCCTGCCGGAAATTAAGACTTTTTAAAATAACGAGTGGCATTTATATGATTCTTAATATTCCTCAAATCTCTGAACTGAATCAAACTTGTAAAATTGACTCTGAAATATCCAAATTAATGTACTTTGCCCTTCAAGTCTCAGAAGCTGTAAGCTCCTCAATCTGTCTTGCAGATTTCACAGCCCTGCTGGTGGACATCATTGGGAATTCCACCAGCTACCTCACCGAGATTTTTAAGTCGACCTCTATCCTCTCAGGTGTGTTTATCTTGAAAACGCTGGGCAAGTTTGAGATTTGGCATCTGCCATGGAGCCTAATCAAACCCAGTGGACCACCCCAATCCCTGCCCCAGCCCCTGCCATAGGCCAGGCTGCCAGGAACATTAGCGTAAGTTTAATTTAGACAATCGGTGTGTCCCGTTTCAACCACCAGCACCTGCAGGTTCCATCTTCCTGTCAGAGCTATTCCTGGTTCAGAGCATTGGAGGACGAATCCAAGGCTCAAAGTTGGGGGAAATCTAGGCAGATTCAAGGAAACAGCTTCTGTTGGACAGCTATGCTCCCATTTTAAAGATGAGAAAACTGAGGTTCAGAGAGGTTGAATATTTTGCTCATGGTTGTTCAGAATTCAGATTGAGATCTATGCGGAGCTGAGAAAGACATGCCTCATTTATAAGGTGGCGTCACATAACCTCCAGGCCGGTCCCCGGGGGACCCACTTTGCAAAGCACAGAGTTAGTTAGCAGCCCAACACTTGGGCTCAGCAGGAGGGTGGCTTGCTGCACTCTGGAGAAACTGCTGTTTTAGAAGAAGGGAGACCGGGGGAGAGATCATGATAGATGCCGTTAGGTGCACGTACCAGGGCGTCTTCTAAAGGCTTCCGTGTATCCCCGCATTGTAACGAGGACGGCACCTATACAGCTACGACACTGATCACCACTTTACACGTGAAGCTGTGGCACAGAGAGGCCAAGTGACCTGCCCAAGACCATTCAGCGGAGATGGAATCCTAGACCCAGGTGATCTAGGTCTGACGTTCATGCCCTTGGTCACTATGCTAATTCATATGATGATAGTATCACATTAGCGGCAACAATTATAAGTATTATAACTCTTTATGGAGCTTTTCTATCTGTCAGGCATCATACTTAGAGCTTCACGCACATCTCATGGTGTCATCAACACCACCTCACTAGGGCCATGCGACCACCCACCCAGAGTCCGTAAAGGGACCAGGATGTTTAGGGACTCAGAAGCTTTCGAATGTTCGAGGGTCTAATACGGTGTCTGCATCGTCCATGACACAACCTCCAGCAGCATGAGGGCGGCCTCCTGTCATCAAAGGCGCCCTATTCGATTAGCAGAGGGTGACCCTGCCCACCACATGTGAGAGAGAAAGACGACAAAGAACCGCACATCTGTCAAGTCAGGTTTGGCCACCAAATGAGTTTGGTACCAAAATGACATGAAACCTCCCATCGTACAGAGACCTGGGGATTTTCAAATTGAAAATAAGGGACTGTGGGATGAGAATGTTCACCATTTTAAAGGTGGGTAAACTGAGTCCTAGAGAGGTCAAGCAGTTCGTCCTTGCTCAGGTAGCTAGGAAGTGGCAGGCTGATATTGTAACGGGGGGAGCTGACCCCAGAGGCCGTGCCCTTAGCCATTTCATTATCCGGCATCCCACCCCCACAGCCCCCCGGAAAAGCAGGGCTGCCTTCAGAGTGAAGACACAGCCTCGCTTCCCACAGCACCTGCGCTGGGCATTTGTAGCTTCATTTCGTTTCGACCGAAGGCGCTGCAGCTCCAGTCTCATGTGCTGCTCGTTGTCTTGCAGTGAGTCAGACGAATGCCTCCGACTGCATCTTCATCTGCGTGATGACGGGGAAGGCAGGTGAGCCCGGCCGGTCCTGGGCAAGTTCTCTGAGCTGAGACATAGACGCAGCCGCCAGCAGGCGGCCCAGATGGAACCTGTCGGTGGGGTCTTTGCAGGACGGAACCTCTCTGACTTCTGGGAGTTGGCGGAGAAATCTCCGGTCATCAATTACACCTTCACCAGCAGCCTGGCCGCGGCCCCGGGTGAGTGGAAACCGCCCAGACACCAGCTCTAGAGTCTCCAGGTCAGGCTCCCTCCTGGCAAGCGGAAAACAGAAGACAGAGCGCTGCCCACAGGGTTTTATTTAGCTATCCTGGGTTAAAAAGGAAGATGTTGCCATTTTAATTTTTGCAAAAGATCTGGATCCTCAATCCTGGATTCCCCCCCTCACTCGTGCGACAAGCAGCTGATGTTGAGTAGCTGCCGCCCTCATCCCCCCACCTCCCCAATAGGAGGGCCACCTTCCTCCTGTTTGCCGCAGTCCTCTCTGCTCCCTGTTGCCTCGCACGGGGCTTCTGACAGCTTCGCCTTCTGTTCACTGTGCTTCTGCGCATGGCTTTTTCAGAGGCTGATGTTTTAGATTAGTTTGTCATTCAAGGAGAACCCATCTTTTTGGTGACATGTGGTGCTGGTCTGAGTAAGGTTTGAGTCTCTGCACCCTAAAAATATGTGCTGTACGATGATGACCTTCCAGTGATGCAACAGTTCTTTACGTCAAAGTGACAAAAATGTTACAGCTACCAGGGGGACAGCTGTGGCTTCCAAGCTCACACCCACAAGCCCGCAAACCCCGCCGAGGACAAGCCCTCCACGCCCAGCCCGGAGCACCGGCGTGTCTGCTCTGAGAGCCTCTCCCTGGACCGAGGTGCCTGATCCTTCGGAGGGAGAGCAGGCGGTGAACACAGACAGGCTTCCTGAACTCCTCGCCACGGCCACGGCCACGGCCACGGCCACGCCGGGCAGCGTCTCTCCCACCCTCCCAGGCTCGGGTAAGATTTCTCACCCTTTCCTCTCCTGCCCTGTCCCACCCTCCAGTGAATATAGTACAGAGAGCTTTCTAGGACCCTTCAGCCAGCATCCCCCGAGGAGAATCTCTTTCAGACTTGAAATATATTGTAGCAAAAAGGTATTTTTATTTCAGCAAAGCATTTAGCAACGTCTCTCCTGAGATTCACACAAAACGGTGAAGTGCACTCAGCACTGTATGGCAGGGGTAGGTTAACGCGCAGCTGGCTGGACAATGATGCCAAGAATATGTTAATGACGATGCCGGCGTGAAAAGCTACCGCTGATGGTGGGCCAAGAGCGTCCTCCTTCCCCACCATCTCTGTGGACATATCCGTGGTATTTGCGCTGAAGACGCAAAAGGCGTGCTTATCCTATTTGGAAATAAGATACAACTGAGATGACTCTTTCAGTTAATGAGTTCCAGCAATGGACCGGTCATTTACTCATCCATCCACCCATCCATCCATCCACCCATCCACCCATCCATCCATCCATCCATCCATCCATCCATCCATCCACCCATCCATCCATCCACCCATCCACCCATCCACCCACCCACCCATCCACCCACCCATCCATCCACCCATCCATCCACCTATCCATCCATCCATCCATCCATCCACCCATCCACCCATCCACCCATCCACCCATCCATCCATCCACCCATCCATCCATCCATCCATCCATCCATCCATCCACCCATCCATCCAGATGTAGTTTATACCAGGCACCAGGCTGGCTGCTAACAACACAGCTCTGTCAATGTTTCCTTTCTTCATGAGCTCACAGACCAGGGATAGAGACACAGGCAAGAAAACTGATAGCTGTGATCCAGACTCCACAGGGTTCTTGTCCCGGAGGCCCAGAGAGGGGCTCCCCATGGAGGTAAGGATTGAAAGTCGGGCAGCAGGCCTAGAAGAACACATAGGCAGTAACATCTCGGACATTCCTCAGAGCAATATTTTTTTCTGATACATCACCTAGGCCACAGGAAAAAAAAGAAAAAATAAACAAATGGGGCTACATCAAACTAAAACGTTTTGCACAGCAAAGGAAGCCATCAGCAAAATGAAAAGACAACCCTCTGAATGGGAGAACATATTCGCTGCTACATTTGTTAAGGGGTTAATATCCAAACGTTATAAATAGCTTATAAAACACACCACCAGGAAAAACCCCAAACAATCCAATTTAAAAATGCCCAAGGGACCTGAATAGACACTTCTCTAAAGAGGACATACGAAGGGCCAGTAGATATATGAAAAAATGCTCCATGTCACCGATCAGCAGAGAAATGCAAATTGAAATCACAATGAGGTATCACCTCCCAGCTGTCAGAATGATTGTTTGTCATCAATAAATCTACAAACAGCAGGTGTTGGTGAGGCTGTGGAGAAAAGGAATCCCTCGTGCACCGCTGGTGGGCATGCAGACTGCTGCAGCCTCTGTGGAAAGCAGTATGGAGTTTCCTCCAAAAATTAAAAATGGAACTGCTGTTTGACCCAGGATCCCCCTTCTGGGAATATATCCTAAGAAACCCAAAACACTAATTCAAAAAATATATGCACCCCTATGTTCATTGCAGCGTTATTTACCACAGCTGCGATCGGGAAGCAGCCCGTTGCCCACCAGTGGATGGTGGGTAAAAGGCAGTGATGCATGGACACAAGGGCACGCTGCCGGGCTGTGGGGGGGAGGGCATCTTGCCTTTTGTGGAAGCGGATGGACCTGGAGAGTGTGGTGCTGCCGGCAGTGGGCCGGTCAGAGGGGACAGGGGCCATGTGATATCACTTATATGTGGAACCTCATGAACAGAATAAACTAACAAAATAGAAGCAGACTCACAGCTGTTGGGAGGTTAGATGGAAAAGGTGAAGGGATTAAGGAAAAAAACAACCACCTCATAGACGGACAACAGTGTGGTGGTTACCAGAGGGGAAGGGGGTTGAGGCAGAGGCGAGGGCAAAGGGGGGATAAATGGTGATGGAAGGAGACTTGACTTGGGGTGGAGAACACACAGCACAATGTACAGATGACGGGTTGTAGAATTGTACACCTGGAACCTATATAATTTTATTAACCAATGTACTACTGTCGCGAGAGGTGGCTACAGGGGCCGGACTAATAAGGTGGCAAGTACAATAGGGTCTCGAATGGGATGAAAAGAGTCAGGCAGCAGGAAAACAAGGGTGGGGGGAAGGAATCAGCTTATTAACTAGAAAAGTCCCTAGTCCAATAGCCGGCATCATGAGACACAAAGCTAGGACGCTTTACGGTGTAACAGAGACGTGATTGCTAGTGGCCAGAGGAAGGATGAAAGTCCTCGCTGGATTCGGCACAGAAGTGCTGGCTTTATGTACACAAAACTACACAGCTTTCATGAACTTTTTTTTAAAAGCATCTTTAAGTAAATGAAGCAACATACCGTTTCCTGGATAAGGAATCTGAATATTTTGAAGATGGCAACTGTTCTCAACTTAGAGGTTTAAAATCCTCAGGGGATTCGTTTTGTAAAACTTGAAAAAAAATGAATTTTAATCCCCACCATGGGAATGGACAAGCGCAAATCGCTAGCGGTTTCCTACAAGTCCAGCCAGGGAAGGTTTGTCTTCATCACCATCCTCTGATACTAAAGGGTGTCATTATGATCTCCATTTCAATGACAAAACTAAATAGCATTCAGTAACTTTCCCCAAACTTTACAGCACGGGGGACCCTCTGGGTCCCCTCACCTCAGCCCCATCACCTTTCCACTATGACACGTGGTTGGAAATAATGGCGAGATTGCTGGGGCGTCCGAAGGGCTTGGAGATGTTTCTATATTGATAGTTAGGAAATGAATGTTTAGTTTGTCCACGTATTCCAGTTCTTGGTCGCCTTTGAGTCCCTAGATTATCTAGATTATGCAGGCACCATGCATTTACCCTGCGATTACATTTCCATGTCTTAACAATTTTATATCTAAATCGAAGTGATCAAGCATATAAATAGCCTGTTACTGTTGCTTGTGCAGCTACCAGGAGGGCGTCCGGAGCTCCATGGGTGACAGATGGCAGGCAGGCCTGGGCGTCCACACTGCCCGTCACCAGTATGGAAGCACCTGGAGGGCCTCCCTGGGAAGCGCTTTCCTCCACAGCGACATCGCCCACAAAGACCAAGGACACCGGAACCACGGGGAGCCTTTCGGAGCCTCCTGCCAGGACACACGGCAGCCCTTCCCAGGCCAGCCCAACCTCTGGTAAGAGAGGATGTTCTCCCCCAAGCCCCCTGCTTTAAAAAAAAAAAAAAAAAAAATTTATTTATATATATATATATATATATATATATATATATATATATATATATATATATAATTGGTTTCAGAAAGGAAGGGAGAGGAAGAGAGAGAAAAACATCAATGATGAGAGAGAATCATGGATCGGCTGCCTCCTGCACACCCCACACTGAGGATGGAGCCCTTAACCCGGGCATGTGCCCTGACTGGGAATCGAACCGTGACCCCCTGGTTCATAGGTCGATGCTCAACCACTGAGCCATGCCAGCCGGGCTATTTTTTACTCATCGCTGCATCCTCAACGCCCTGCCTGGTCCCTGGCTGGATAACCAACATGGCTGCCTAGGGCAGGACTGGTGGCCCGGGCCCCTGAGAAGTGCAGGCTCACCTGTCTCCCATCTCACCCCAGGGACACTCACTCCGGGCACACAGACTTCCAGTCCCACCAAGGCCCCGGCCCCCCGGTATCCACAGACAGGTAAGACGTGCGTGCGCTGGGAAGGGGGCCCCAAACCACAGGAAGGAAACCGCTTCGGGGCAGGGCCCGGTGGGCCGGGTGTCAGGAGGCGGACAGAGCCGGCTGTTGTACTTCATTGGCGGGAGTTGAACAGGCGGGAGGGCTACGCCTCGCTGTGCTGCTAACTTGCCCCGTGAGCCCGGCAGATCGCCTCCGCCTTCGGAGTCACCGTTTCCCCATCGATTTCGAGAACTCTTTATCCTTCAGGTGCTGCGATTCTCTGCTTGTGAGGTTAGCCCAAGGCCACTTGGTTTGGAATTTTGAGGCCATACTTGCTCCTTGCAGGTGACCTTCTGCGGCCATTGCCCCCTGCAGAGGAGCCCGCCCTGGTCCCGGGACCCCACCACGTTCATGTCTCAAGTACGTCCCAGCCCTTGTCACTCCTGTCACTCTTGTTGGTTTGGGGCAAGGTTGTGCAGCACCGTAAAAAGAGGGGTGTGTGAGCGATTCAGAGTCAGACTCTGGGACCCACAGCCCAGCTCTCCCATTTCCCGGTGAGGCGGCCCCAGAACCCCGTGCCTACGGCCATATTGCGGGGATAACAACCATCACTCGGGCCCTGGAGACGTCCTGTTCCCCCAGGGCTTTGTCTGAAGGGAGACAATGTGTGTGGAAGTGGCTTGGAACGGGGCTCCGTGTGATTTAATTCAGCCGATTGTTGTTGAGTGAGCGCCCGGTGAGAACGCCTGAGCCCTTGGCGAGTGGACGTTGTCCTAACGGGCGCGATGTTAGAAGGGAAGGAGGACAGAATGACTCCGAAATTCAACCCCCACGTTCTGGGTGCACTTGGCCTTGCTTCTGTTTTCAAGGCCGCCCCGCCTTCCCCAGCCCTGCGCACTTCACCCTTGTGAAATTCCAGACAAGGACAGCCTCCCGGCTGGGGCTGGTGGTCAGAGGCCTGGGTCCGGTTTCTGTGGTTTGTGCTGTGCTTTGGGGTGACCCTCCTCCTTCCTGTTGAGCCGGTTTCCATGAGGGAGAAATGGATCCGAAGGGAGTCCTTCAGAGCTGACTGACCCTCGGGCCCTCCCTTCCCGGAGGCCTTTCCAGACTGGCCTCCTGATGTCCCAGGCGTGTGTCAGCGAGGCTTTATTAAACGCTGGCGCCTGCCCAGTCTCTGTTCCTATCGCCCCGATCGGCCTGAACCCCGCCCTCAGCCTGCCGTGAATGGGCCCCTCACACACAAAGACGGGATTGTGCTGCCGCAGGGAATGGCAGCCCTCCCTCCAGGGATCCACAGAAACTCGCCAGCAGTGCAGACGGGGCAGTGGGCAGATGGACCTCGAGAAAACAAGTTGGCTGTGTCTGGATCTTCGCTGTTACCTGCCCTGGAGTCGGCTCTGACTCCCGGAGACCCTGTGAATGAGCGATGGCCGCATGTCCCGTCCTCCCAGCATGCTCAGCTCCTGCAGACTCCTGCCCGTGGCCTCTCTCACGGAGTTAGTCCAGCTCCTAGTTCGTCTTCCTCTTTTCCTGCTGCCTTCGATTTTCCCAGCATGATCATCTTTTGCAAATAACCCTGTCTTCTAGGTCTACCTGTATCTATAGCTATTGCTTTATTTGATCTATACCTGCATATCTATGTTTGCTTATATAGCCCTATCATCTATGAGAAATCCTATATAATAAAAGGCTAATATGCAAATTGTCCCCTCGGGAGTTCGACCAGGAGACTGGGAATTCGATCGCTCACTATGACGTGCACTGGCCACCAGGGGGCAGCGCAGAATATGACGGGTGACCAGTGGCAGCAGGGTGCTGAGGGAGCAAGAGAAGGAGGAGGCAGGAGGCCAGCTGGCAGGGAACCTGATCGGCCCTGATCGCCGGCCAGGCCTAGGGACCCTACCCGTGCATGAATTTGGTGCACCGGGCCTCTAGTCGAATAAGTGTAAAATAACAGGGTTCTGGCATCTTCCAGTATGTGATTCTGCCCATTCACAAAGTATGCCACCAACTTTCTGACATCCACTTTCTTCCACTGGCTAAGTATGTATTGAGTTCCTCCTGCGTGCCAGGCGCCGGGTCATGCCTATTCTCACTCTCTCTCCACAATGATTCTGCAGGGCAGGTCATGTTCTCTTCAACCACTTTTAGTGAGTCCTTCCTAGTAAAGAGTGACTCTGCTTTGAGCCCAGGTCCACCTCATTCCCCAGCCCGTTCAGTGTCTCAGATCCTGGTGGGACATTTACTCCTCAGTAGAACCGTGTCTGGTTCCCTCCAGGAACTGGATCCCACTCGTCCTCCTCCGTCCGCTCAGACCTGGCGCAGAGCTTTACGGGGCAGCGGTGAGGACGCCAGGCTTCCCGTCTGTCTCAGAGCCGCCTGAGGTCAGGGCAGGACCACAGCCACTGAGCACAGGATCTACCAAAGGGAGACCCTGGGCACACTTTTGTTGACTCGACTGGTCTGGGATTGTGTCTTCCAGGGTGTCCTCAGCAGCTCCTCAGAGAAGGGCCCCTGACAGCCGGGCCCCTCCCCAGGGCCGCCCACAAGCTCACCCCCTGCCTGATGGAGCTGTGCCGGTTTTTCCAGCAGTGCCTCTGCGCGAGCCCGAGGAGGGACCCCAGGACGGAGGCCATGAGGTAACCTGGGCCAGAGGCCGCCTGTCCAGCATTTATGCGTGTCCTCCTCTGCACGGCTTCTCTGCAGGCACAGACTGCAAACGGGCGACAGGGGCGCCTCAAGGAATGGACTCCCCAGTGAGTTCTTTGCTAGATTGTCACCTTCTCAAGAGCCAGGATGGAACCTTATCCATTTCTGGTCCCCAGAGCCAGGTACAGAGCCTGACATAATAAGCATAGTTGAGTCAAGTGCAATCAAGTGGAGTTGAGTTGATTTGAACTGTGTCCTACCTGGTGGAACGGTCTCAGGGGACTGTGAGTGGTCCCCAGTGCCTCCGCCTGGTGAGATTCGCTAGAAGATAATAATCAGAGGACAGGTCTGATAATAATCTAAATGACAGGTCTTCAGAAACCCCGTGCTGTCATTTGCAGGCCAAATGAGAAGGTTGAGCCAAGAAAATTAGAGGGCAGACCCCGTTTTCTATTAAGAAGGAGTAGGCGTGGGCACCTTTCCGCCCCGGGGGTGCTGACACACTGTTCCATCTTCTGGAATTTATTCTTGGCTGGAAACCCAGAGCCAAACAACGTAGATAACGAGCTCTGCTCCCCGGTCTGAGGCCAGTCTCCCAGACCTTTAATGTGACTTTCAAAGTCTACCCGTTCTATCCTTCAGCTCTTCCAGGCTCCATGATCCACCGGCTCTGAGCCTCAAGGTCAGGGTTGCAGCCTTTTCCCATCACCCCTTTCTGGCCCTGGCCTTGGACCCTTCATGAGTGTGGCTGTTTCCTGCGCCCAGAGAGGGCCATGAGCAAGACGCACAGGCCCGCCGGTGTCAGCCCGCACGGTGGAGGCATTCCCTCCACGGCGAAGGCAGCGGCGTTCTTGCCGGCACTGCCAGGCTGTGGTGAGAGCGAGTGGAGCCGAAATGGAAGAGGACACTGAATGGTCCCGCACAGGCCCGGGCGGCTGCACGGTGGCTGCTGGCTGCTGGAGATACTCTCGCGGTTGGCGGTGCCTCGTTCCCTCCTCCACTCTCATGCCACGTTGGAACCTCAGCTCTAGCCTCCTTGATAATGTTGTCGCTGTGGCACCAAGTACCCAGTGGCCGTGTCAGCTGTGGACCAAGCTGGACACGTCACGGTTGTTGACCGAGGTTTGGAGATGTCTCCGTGAGAGTATGAGGTCACACGCTCACAGCCAAGTACCCCTGGTGGTGGTCGTCATTCCACGCGGCCCTCAGATCCACGCTGCTCTTTCTCTGCCGTGTGTGTGTGTGTGTGTGTGTGTGTGTGTGTGTGTGTGTGTGTGTTGGGGGCGGGGGGACAGCCGGGGGAGGCCGACTGGTACATTTCCCATCTCCCAGAATGCCTTTCCAGCCGCCTCCTGTAAGTTCATTCAATGGGAGATACCGGCAGGAGATTGGGGGACAGAACAGAGAAGCCAAGGATTTTCTCCCCTTTATTTCTACTTTAGACAAGGTTTCCCTGTTGGTTTCTTCTACCTCCTTCGTAATGGTTCCCAGCACTGATTCCCTCAGCGCCAGCGGGGTCTGTCTTCTCCTCCCGGGGCCCGGCTCTACCGTTCTTCTTGCCCAGTAGATGGCAGTGTGTTCCGGCTCTACCACTTGAAGGCAGTGTGTCCCTGGGCGAATCCATTTACCTCTGGGCCTGTTTCCTTGGTTTTAAACTGAGGGGGATAGAACCCAGGAAGTCTTTATGGCTAACTTTCTCGAGCAGTTAGTTGCTCCCCAGCGTGTGCTAGAGTCACAGGATGATGGCGACGGAAGAGAAATTGGAGAATGCTGAGCCCACCCTCCTCATATGTCAGGTGAGGGTTGAAAGGGAAGTGTGAGTCACACAGCCGCCCCGGACCCTTCTTCCTACAGGCTCATCAGTGCTGTTTCCCCTCAGCCCTTCGAGGCAATTGTGCAGACCCCAGCCAAGAGCAGGGCATTGGCTTGCAAAGTCTTCCTGCCTTGTTTTTTTTTTTTTTTTTTAATCTTTATTGTTCAGATTATTACATTTGTTCCTCTTTTTTTTTCCCCCCATAACTCCCCCCCTCCCAGTTCCCGCCCCACCCTCCGCCCTCACTCCCCACCCACTGTCCTCATCCATAGGTGCACGATTTTTGTCCAGTCTCTTCCCGCATCTCCCACACCCCTTTCCCCCCCAGGAATAATCAGTCCATTCCCTTTCTATGTCCCTGATTCTATTATAATCACCAGTTCATTCTGTTCATCAGATTATTTATTCACTTGATTCTTAGATTCACTTGTTGATAGATGCATATTTGTTGTTCATAATTTGTATCTTTACCTTTTTCTTCCTCTTCCTCTTCTTAAAGGATACCTTTCAGCATTTCATATAATCCTGGTTTGGTGGTGATGAACTCCTTTAGCTTTTCCTTATCTGTGAAGCTCTTTATCTGACCTTCAATTCTGAATGATAGCTTTGCTGGATAAAGTAATCTTGGTTGTAGGTTCTTGGTATTCATCGCTTTGAATATTTCTTGCCACTCCCTTCTGGCCTGCAAAGTTTCTGTTGAGAAATCAGCTGACAGTCGTATGGGTATTCCCTTGTAGGTAACTGAGTTTCTTTCTCTTGCTGTTTTTAAGATTCTCTCTTTATCTTTTGCTCTTGGCATTTTAATTATGATGTGTCTTGGTGTGGTCCTCTTTGGATTCCTTTTGTTTGGGGTTCTCCGCGCTTCTTGGACCTGTAAGTCCATTTCTTTCACCAGGTGGGGGAAGTTTTCTGTCATTATTTCTTCAAATAGGTTTTCAATATCTTGCTCTCTCTCATCTTCTGGCACCCCTATAATTCTGATGTTGGTACGCTTGAAGCTGTCCCAGAGGCTCCTTACACTATCCTCGCATTTTTGGATTCTTTTTTCATTTTGCTTTTCCGGTTGGGTGTTTTTTGCTTCCTCGCATTTCAAATCATTGACTTGATTCTTGCGCTCCTCTGGTCTGCTGTCGGGAGTCTGTATAATATTCGTTATTTCAGTCCGTGTATGCTTAATTTCTAGTTGGTTCCCCAATATAACATCGAGGGTCTCATTAGTTTTCTTGTAGATCTCATTAAGTTTATCGGCGGCTTCTAAACAGTTCTTGAGAGACCTTAAAAGTGTGGTTCTGAACTCTATATCTTCCATTGACAATTTTGTCCTGTTTCTTTGTCTCCGCATTTTGTTATGCTTCCTTGGTGCACCCCCTAGTGGTCTTTGTTCGCAGTTTTATAGTTAAATCTTGATTGTTGTAGCTAATTCCAGGGAGGGTTTGACCTCCAGGCCAAGTGGCTATGAGAATCAGCTGTGTCAGCAGTGAGAGAACTTCTGTCCTCTAGGGAGGTGCTAATCTAGCCTTTGCCTGAGGCTATCCGGCAAATGCCTGTGTACAGGGCTTGGGCGGGGCGGGTCGCACAGGATCAACAGGGTGGGCCGGAGAGAGCAGTTATGGCGGCTCTCAGTCCTGTCCCCAGGGGCTCTGCCTCTCTGAGTCCCAGCACCTGCTGCAAAGCTCGGAGAGAAAGCTGCACTCGCTCTGACCGAAGCCAGACAGTCCCGCTTCTCCCGTTTGAGTCTGGGTCCCTAAAGACTCGCCCGGATCTGGAGCTCAGAGTCTGCGACTCCCTCCCGATTGAAAACGCCAACCGCGCCCTCCGCCGCCAGCCCGCTCGTGCACTCCGCACCTCAGAATTTGACTTCAGCACTGCGCCTCCTCTGAGTGTCCGTATGCGTTTCTCTTTCCTCCTAGTTGTAGGGCTTCCACTCAGCCAGCGTTCCTGTGGTTCTGGGTGATGTCCCTTCCGTTTTTTGGTTTCACTTTTGAAGTAGTTGTTCAAGGCAGCAAACTCCAGCGTTAACCTATGCCGCCATCTTGGTTCTAAAAGCTCTTCCTGCCTTGTTGACTGTAACAGCACTGCGCACCGCACACACAGAATAGATCAATGCCCATCGTCTATCGAGCACCTGTGACAAGCCTGGCACTACTCAGGAACTTGGCAAATCCCCACAGTGTAGGTTCCAGTATTGCCTTTCATTTACAGATTAACAAGCTAAGGCCCGGAGAATTAAGGACTCAGCCTGAAGTCGCACGTCCTCCTAAGACCTAGGTAGTGATGCTCGGACTAAAAATAGGTCTTTCAGATTCCAACGTACAAGTGCTTTCCTCCTCATTCTGTACCGATCCTCCCACACCCCGTGGAGATGGAGAAGGGCTTCCTTGCTTTGGATAATTGTCCATTATGACTTTTTTTTATAATCCTCACCCAAGGATATTTTTCCCATTGATATTTTTAGAGAGAGCAGAAGGGAGGGAAGGAGAGGGAGAGAGAGAGAGAAATACAGATGTGAGAGAGATACAGTGATTGGTTGCTTCCTGCATGTGCTCTGACCAGGGCTGGGGATCAGACCTGCAACCCAGTTACATGCTCTTGACTGAGAATGGAACCCATGACCCTTTGGTGCAGGCCAAGGCTCTAACCACTGCGAGCACACTGGCCTGGGCCATTATGACTTTTTAAAATCCTGGTTGTCTCCTAACAGCCACAAAAGATTGCTCTCAGCTCTGACTTAAACTTTCAGGTACTGTCTTGAGTTCTATTCCTGGTTTCTGAAGAATGCAACCCACATCTGCCAGGAGGCGAAGAGGGTGCCCCACTCGCGCAGTGAGTACGCGGCCGGGCCGTGCTGTGACGGCGATAAAGGCTTCTGGGACAGGGTCTGGCGCTCTGAGTGCGTTTCCTGCCTCAGCAGGGGCGCGGGAACTCACCTGGTCATTGCTATTCCAGACAAGGAGTCTAGGGCAAGCATGTCAAACGCTAACACAGGCCAAATACACGAGGCAGGTGGCCTGCGGGCGCGAGTTTGACATGCTTGGTCTAGGGCAGCCGTGGGCAAACTACGGCCCGCGGGCCAGATCCGGCCCGTTTGAAATGAATAAAACTAAAAAAAAAAAAAAAAAAAAAAAAAAAAGGCCGTACCCTTTTATGTAATGATGTTTACTTTGAATTTATATTAGTTCACACAAACACTCCATCCATGCTTTTGTTCCGGCCCTCCGGTCCAGTTTAAGAACCCATTGTGGCCCTCGAGTCAAAAAGTTTGCCCACCCCTGGTCTAGGGGTTCCGGATTCCTCTGCACGCAACAGTTTGATATTTGCAGTAGGCGTTAAAAAAGAAAAAAGCCGGAGTCAGGCAGGCCGAGCACTGCTGCTTTCTGTGTGTGACCTTACTCCTCCCGGGGCCCGTGAAGCTAAAAACACAGACAAAGCAAAATATCAGACAGAAGACACCCCAGGAACACCCACATTCCCGACCCAAGCAAAGGTACACAAGTAATGCAAGCAAAAGAGGGCACCCCACGCTGCTGGAAGTGGGGTGTTTGGTCCCCCTCTCCTCGCTCGCTCTCAGGGTGCCAGGCGTCGGCTTTGTCTTGTCTGCTGCTCCTGCGGACAGAAGCGCCGATCTCGCCTGCCTGGTGCTGAAGCCAGCGCCTGGCTGTTCCATTGTGCCCTCTAACAGCACCGTCTGGTCAGGGGACTCTGGTTTTCCAAAACCACGGAATCTGTGGAACCCTGTGAAAGCGCCTTCCTCGGGAAAGCCAGTGTAAACATGGCCCCGCCTTGGCAGTGTTCTCCATGAGAAAGCAAAGAGCGTTTAGCCACCCGATCCTCCTGCGGCTCTTAAGGGACATCCAGTGAATGCCGTGACCGCACTTCTTAGACACTCTTCTTACTCCTTTGCCCCCCGTCTTCTCTCCCTTCTACCAGCTGCCGTCTCAGAGCCTCATCCTCGCTTTATTGTCCACCTTCCACTCGGCAGCCCCCTAACACCAAGCTTCCTGGCTCCCCTGTGTCCAGGCGCCTCCTCTGTTTATTTTCATTTCCTTTGCCTCAATGCTTTCTTCCTTCTCAACACATTCCCTTATTTCTTCTGCAAATCCATCTCCCCACTTCCTCCCTCTCTCTCTCTCTCTCTCCCCTTGTTCATCCTCACCTGAGGATATTTTCCCCTTTGATTTTTTAGAGAGAGTGGAAAGGAGGGAGGGTGGTGGAGGGAAAGAGAGAGAAACATTGATGTGAGAGAGACATATCGATTGGTTGCCTCCCTCGTGCACCCCGACCAGGGCTGAGGATTGAACCCTCAACCCTTCAGTGTGTGGGCCGACACTCTAACCACTGACCAACACAGCCAGGGCTGTCTTTCTATCATCACCTTTTCTCTGCAGCACAAAACCCAAGCCTGGGAGTGGCTCATGGGGGCTCAGCAGTCAAAGGAGAAATCCCTTTCCCTGGCGCAGGCAGAACTGGGAAATCTTGCCAACAACTTACAATTGAATCAGTGTCCTGGTGCACAGATTCGTGCACATTGAAAGGCAATTAATTAGAAGAAATATTTTAATATCGCTATTCCTGTCTGGCTAATGAAAAGAAAATAGGATTTCACTGAGTCTCCTATCTACTTACTCCAGGACTTCTGTGAGGATCAAATGAGATGAGGCACGAGAAAATGCTTCACAAACATTTGATTAAACTGTAAAATGTTTGCATCTGGCTATAAAGCAAGTCGGGTTCCTGGGCTGAAGAAACTCCAAGGAGGCTAGCCGTCGCTAGGGAGAGGAAGCCGGGCGTTGCTATGTGGTGTCATTACCCGGTGCCCACAGTGACTGTTTCCAGGCTGGGCTGGGTTGTGGGTCGAATTTTGCACCCATGAGGTCTTGGAACGTTAGCTGCGATTTGGTGGGCTGTCACTGTAGGGTGGTGGCGGGGCCTGTGTCCCCCTTGGGGGAAGCCGAGGGTTGGTTTGTGGGTGCCAGGTCCGTGGTGCCGTTTATTTTTAAATGGTCAGTGTGCATCATGACAGCTCCTGCGTTGAGAGTCTGCCCCCTGGTGGTCAGTGTGCGTCATAGCTACTGGTTGGGCGGACGGACACTGAGCCTTTTATTTATATAGATAGCTCTTCTTTTGTCCTGGTCACATTAAAATCGGTACACAAACAACATATTGCATTTACGGAGCAGCACAGGAATGAGCTCAGGTTACTTTTATGCAAACTGGGCAGATGTGTAGGTACAGCGGGCCTTAGAAAACATCACTGACAGAGAGCCGCTTTCCACTCAACTTTGCTGCTAACGAGCCAGGGGGTCTTGCCCACGTTCTTTCTAACTGTGCGGGGGAAGGGAGGGAGTCTGGGCAGCTCCCAGCCAGTCCCTGCCCCTGGCACCCCGCCCCCTGGGAGAGCCGGTGCCCTCAGACTCGATGTCTTTGTGGCATCTCCTCCTCAGCCCTTGAGCTCCCTCTTCTCCTTTTCTTTTTCAGCCTTAAAACAACGATGCCTGGAGAACATCTGCAGGTCCGTGTGAGGCCGTGAGAGAACAATGGGACCTCACCATGAACCCAGCCATCTCTTCACCCTGGCCCCGGCCCCAGTGGGCTGCACTGGCAGGATTCACCCGGCCTCAGCTAGACCAGGGGTGGGGAACCTTTTCCTGCCCAGGGCCACTTGGATATGCCCAGCCTCATTGGAGGGCCATACACAATTATCAGCTTAACAATTAGCCTGCTGTATTGGTCAAGCATGTAATTAGCTCACCCCCAATGTCCCTGCAGGCCCAGACCTAATGATTCTGTGGCTTTACACCAGTGGTTCTCAACCTTGGCTGCACATTAGAAGCACCTGGGAATCTTTTTAAAATCCTCCGAGATGAGGCCCAGAAATCAGGATTTTAAAAAGATTCCCAGGTGATTCTAATGTGCAGCCAAGGTTGAGAACCACTGCCTTATACAGTCCTGGGCCGGATAGATCGCCAGCTCATTGGAAGCGGTGCTTTTGGAAGCAGCATTTCTTTCTCTCCCGTGAACCCTTGGGAAATATGGAAGGGGGGGGGGGGGGGCGTGTCAGAAGCCTCAAGGTGAATGCAGTCCCACCAGCCCTCCTGCTGCCCAAGGTCACAGAAACCTGGTCACTCCGCTCCGGACACTTCCATGATGCTTTGCAGCAATTAATTCCGAGCCTGGAGCCCCCGGTCTCCCAGAGTTTAAGGGGGAGGTGCCCCGCCCTGAGCTGAATGCGTTCTGATTGGGGGATGTGAGAGCAAGGAGGTCTCGGGGTGCTGTGTGCCTGTGGCCACAGCGCTCACTGATGCGGTAACCGAGACGGGCGGTTATTGTCCCGCTGTCGAAGGAGACTTGGCAGTTACACGTGTGACATCATTAAACGGGATTCTTCCTGGAGACAAAGGCGCAGGTGCTTTTCTGTCCCTTTCATTCTTGCCCCAAAGAAGAGCCAAATTAGCTAGAGAAAGAGGAAGGGGAGGAAGGGGGGGGAAGAGGGAGCAGGGAGATGGGGGGGAGGTGGTAGGGGGAGGGGAGCAGGAGGGAGGTGTGTTTCTCAGTCCCTGTGTGAGTCCCCCCCGCCTGTGTGTGCACGGTGCGCCCTGCTGTGGCTTCCTGTGCGTGAGAAGCCGGGCGCTGTCATGGTGCGATCTGTCATTTAAACTCACCCGGCAGCCTTTCCCTCCGTGTCTGAGTAGCTGTAGCACCTTTACTCTCACCCTGTTCCACCCCCAGAGAAGAGAAAGGCCGAAGCCCCACAGCAAAACCCATTTGGCCCCAAGTGTCGGGAGTGGTGAGGTTGAGGGACAACGAATTCTTCAAAGAAACCGTTCAGGGGGCTCGAAAGGCTCCACTCCCCCCAGCGTCACTGCTGGGCGAGCCCTGGGCCCCCAGGAGGCCGGGAGACCGAGCACCTGAGGGTCGCAGCCGGGCTGACCTGCAAGCCCAGAGTGTCCCGTCACGTGGGCCCGGACAGACCCCTCGACCTGGAGGTCACCCTTCGTCCTGTCTGTGCGATGGCGCTGATCTGCACCTGCTGGGGGTGGGGGCGGTGGCAGGGGCAGACACCTGTGGGCACACCTGATTGTGGGGTTGATGAGCACTCGCTGCAGGTGCGCTCTCCTTGTTAAACTCGGGGAAGGACTCATTCTTGAGGTTCAAGAAGGCAACGAGCCCACTGCCGCCCACACTTCGCGGGGCTCACCTCACTCTCCATCCTAGTGGGACTGTCCGCATAGGGTGGCCTCAGGAGCCGAGCCTGAGCCGGGAGCTCCATGGCCCACAGGTAATCCGAGACCAAGCCTGGCCCGGCCCCCAGGAAGCCTGGGGACGAGCCCCCTCCTGCCCTGCTCCAGAGCTCAGGAGAAAATCCCCGAGGAGCGAGGCAGCACGTGCCCAGCCAGGAATGTATGAGAAGAATCGTCCAGATCTTGCTGAAGGATTAGCTACAAAGCCGACCTCTTCCTCGCGGAGAGCCAGGACTTCCACCCGTCTCTCATCTCCCAGGTCACCTGTCTCTCATCCCCCAGAGACCCCGAGGCATAATCCCGGCCTCCCGGCCTTTGAGGTGTGGGGGGTGCGGAACAGGGAGCCTTTGTTCTGTAATGAGAGCCCGGGGCTCCCTGAGGCTCAGGCGCCCACCTGCCACTCATGGACGGCTTGCCACTCATGGACGGCTGGCCTCCTGATGAGAGGGGAGGGTCACATGACCCAGGTCTTTCCTGGGCGTATAAAGGGCTCGTCCCCAGCTTGTTCAAAGCTGCGAGGATCATTCGTCCAACTCTGTCCCAGGGGACCTGCACGGTAGGTAGGCACCCCTTCTCCTGATGGGGGGGCCAGGAGGGAGGCAGGTAGGGTGGGGGCGGGAGAATCAAGGCAGAACTGGGTGAAAGAAGAAAAGAAGGAAGGGAGTCGGGGGAGAGGGAAGGAGAGTGGGAGGGAAGGGGAGGAATGGATAGAGAAAGACGGGGGGGGGGGGGGGGAGACGTGGGGAGGGCTGCTCCCAGGGTGTCTGAGACCCGGCGCTGCTCCCAGGTGTAGCCAGCAACCCAGGGCGCCCCAAGCCCTTGTCTGAGCAGCGGCGATGCCAGGGAAACACCGCCAGGTGAACTCACTGGGGCACCCATCACAAGGCCCTGCAATCCCTCCCGGCCCCCCCCCCCCTCCCGGCACCTGGAGTGGGAATGGGTCCTGCATCATGGCCGGCCTTCCCCAGCTCCCCCTGCGCCAGGCACGCGCCACATGTACCAGGCTTAGCCCTTTAACCTCCCGACGCCCCATGAGGCACCACCAAGTGGGCATTTACCATCACAGAACGCGCTGCAGGCAGCTTCCACGCCTGGCTCGGGGCCCGGTGAGGGCAGAGCCTGAGCCCCACCCGGGTGTGGCCCGCGGACAGGCCCCGCTCTAGGGCCTCCCCACACTGCGGGGCTCGGGGTGTGCAGACCAAAGCGAGGCCTGAGCCCCTCAGTCCCGCTGGACAGCACTGCCCACCTGCTCCTCCCCCAGGGCCACTGGCAGCCCAGCGGCTTCCGGTGCAAACTAGGAAAAGGCATCTTTCCTCCAGGTGGACACAGTCCCATCCAGAGCCCCTGACCTGGCCACCAGGGGGTGCTGGGTGCCCAGGAGGGGGCAGCCCTGGCGTGTCCCCCTGGACCCTAGTGTGCCTGTCCCATCGGGGCTCCCTCACCACTGCTGGGGCCGCCCCGGTTTCCCTTTCCTTAGCTCAGCCGGGGGTTGTGCCGCGGGCCTGCCAAGCAGGTGTCACAGATGACTGGGAATTGAACCACGACCTCCTGGTCCATAGCTCAACACTCAACCACTGAGCCACGCCGGCCAGGCGCACCTTACCCTTTGCATTCGTTCAGCCCACGTTTATTTCACAGCCACCAGGCTGTGCTAGGCCCCGGGGCAGGCTCTGGGCAGTGATCCCACAGCCTACCGATGCCTCCTCCTCTGAAACGCCTTCCTCAGTACCAAGCCCCGCCCTCCAGGTGGAGTGGCCCCCACAGCCCTGGGAGCCTATGCAGGACCCTGGGGGAAGGGGCAGCCTCCTCATCTGGGAGGACAAATAGGAGGCAGTGCCACACCGGCCCCCCCACCCCGCTGGTTGTGCAGCCCTGCAGGGGGCGAGCTGAGAGTTGAGCACAGGCTGCGTTTCAGCCCCTCCTTGCTGGCTCAGTGCCTCACTCTGGCCCAGTGTGTGACTTGGATGGCCATCCCCAGCAGCCCGATGTGCCACGGGATCACATGATCACACTGTCTTATCACACTTGGTCCTAAAAACACACTCTAACACAGAATAGCCATGCTTAACCATCCTCCGACTGACATTAAGGAGTAACACCCCCAGGAGTTAAAATCATTTAAAACCCCTCTGGTCTGTAAGGTTTTTTCCTTCCCGGGGAAATGCATGGCTGACCTGTTTGAGTGCAGGCGGCACCCACCAGGGTTAACTGCTGATCTGAGCACAGGGCAGCGGTGACGGACATGGGTGGGTTCCTGGACCCTGCCCACCTTGGCCCTTCCCCCATGGCGGCCCGAGGCACAGCTCTCTGACCCCCGGGACAGCAACAAAGTGTTCAAATCGCTCTTAAGCCAAGGCAAGGAGGCAAGAGGGAGCATAGCTGGCTAGCAGGCAGCGCCGTCGCTCCACGGCCAGGTTTCTGCGCGTCACGGATGCTGGTGGGAAGGCGCAGGCCTGCTGAACAGTGTCGCACAGGAATGCGGCGGCGGCGGTGTCACGTGCGGGTCAAGTACAGCTCAGTTGGCCCCAGTCAAAGCGGAGCGCTGGCTCAGCCGCCTCCTGCCGGGGGCCGGTAAACACGGCACAGGTGAGGCGTGTTATCCTCACCTTGCGGCCCAGGATCCCTGCCACCTGCCTGACACAACGAGTGACCGTGGAATGAACGAACGAATGAACAAGATGTTTCCTCAAGGAGCACCCCGTTAAGTTTCCATTTTACAGACGGGTAGACTGAGTCTCTTTGGTGGCATAGTGTTAGTTAGGGGCAAAGCCAGGACCAGAAGCCTTTCAGGCTTTCTCCTTGGCCCTCACTGCCTGTGGGACAAGGGCCCCTGTGGGTTCTTATTTCAGGGGTTTCGGGAAGCAGACTCGTCACCCCCCCGCCGGCTTCTCTCCCAGGAGGCTGCTCCTGTCCCGCCTCAGTCCGTCCTGGGCTCCACGATGGCCGCGCTTCTCCTCATCGGCGTGCTGATGGCCCCGGGTGCGGGTGAGTGTTGGTATTCATGCCGTCTTCTGCTTAGCGTGTGATAACTTAACCTGGTCCCTGGGACCGATTGTCGAATTGCACCTGACCTGCTCCTGCCTGCGTCATGGACAGCAAGTGAGTGATGGACAGCAAGCGTGCATGAGAAGCTGTAGGTTTGATGCAACTGACTGCTCGGAGCATGCTGGCTGCATATGGCATGGAAGGCGAGGTGGGGAGCCCGGGAGCACAGGCCAGGTGGCCGGTGAGCTATCTGCTCTCCGCCCGGTAGCACGCCTGCCCCTCGTCCCTGTGCTCAAGGCCCGCTGCCCCTTGTGCTGCTGTCCTTGGAGCAGCCTCGCACCCCGTCCTCCCCACTTTTGTAGGGATGGCCAGTGTAGAAGGTGAGAACTTGCACCCCCCGCTCTAAACTTGGTCCCCTGCCACCAAAACCGGTCATCGGAGTAATTTCTTGGCAGCTGGGGAACAGCTCCCCTGGGAGTCTTGGTTTTGAAGCTGAGTCTTCAGCGCCGACTAATGTTCTTTCTCGTTCGCACATTTGTGTCGCTCTCAACACCCAGCC